TGTACTCACTATTGAGTACCCCACTGCAGGCTAGACAAACATAACATTCTGACAAGTAAGGGGCGAGGGGGAACACCCCTCAAAGGAGGGTGTGCGAGGAGTACCATGAGCAGCACCTACAGCAACTACGCTAGTCTCAGCTGCAAGGAGGTGCTTCTCGAGCAGGTCGACAGTGAGGTCTGTGGGGTCAAGTGCGAGAAAGTGGTCCCTGACAGCGCGAAGAGAGTCAGGGAGGCGGGTGACTATGAAGTAGAGAGTGATGTACATCGGGGGCGGGTTCCTGTCTAGGAACTCGGCTGGGAGGGCAGCGCGGTAGCGAGCTTCGGTAGTGCGGAGGTGGGTAATGAGGTCCTCGACTGTGGGAAAGGGTGACAGCTCTCGAAACAGGTAGGGCAGTATAAGGCAGCCGAGAGCAGCAGTGGCAGGGGAAGAGTAACGAGCGACTACAGCGTCGTACAAGTCTTTGGCGGTCTTGTGCTGGCCAAAGTGAGCCCGCTCGGCTAACGGCAGGTGGTTGCAAACGGCTAAGCGAGCAGCAGCGTCACGGGTAAGCCACTGTGAGCGAGTCGCACTGTCAGCTGTGGCGGGAGGGGCGAGAGAGGCTCCAGATGTGTGGTCAAACAACGAAACGCTGTCTCTAGAGTCGCTCAGTAGGTACTGCTGTAAGTCGTCGAGCCATGTGTCGAACTGGATCAGCGGGCAGAGCAGGGTGGCGCGCGACGAGCAGGGTGGCACGCAGGCAGGGCGGCGCTCATCAGGGCGGGCAGCAGCAGGGCGGCGCGGGCAGGAGGGCGCCGAATAGCAGGGCTGCACGCAGTAGGGCAGGCAGCAGCTGGGCGGCGCAAGCAGTAGGGCGGCGCGCTGTAGGGCTGTGCGGGCAGTAGGACGCCTGCCAACAGGGCTGCGCGCAGCAGGGCGGGCAGGAGCAGGGCGGCGCGCGGGTTGCAAAGGGCAGCGCTCGAGCAGGAAATGGCAGCGCGCAGGCTGCAAAGGGCGGCGCGGCGGGATGCAAAAGGGCGGCGCGCGGGCTGCAAAGGGCGGCGCGCGGGCTGCAAAGGGCGGCTCGGCGGCCAGCAGGGTGGCGCGCGGGCAAGGCAGGGCGGGCAGCAGCAGAGCGGCGCGCGGGTTGCAAAGGGCGGCGCGCGGGCTGCAAAGGGTGGCGTGCGGGCTGCAAAGGGCGGCGCGATAGCTAGCAGGGCGACGCGATAGGCAGGGCAGGGCGGGGCAGGGCAGGGGCAGGGCAATGTGATTAGTGGGGCAGCGCGACTAGTGGGGCAGCACTATTCGGTGGGCCCTAAAGAAAGTGGTCCTGGAACAGGACCTGCTCTGAAACCATGTCAGAATACTGAACGAGAATGAATGAACTATGAATCAGTTGGGTACAAGTACTAACCTTAATTGGGTTGTACCCCTTATGGGCTACCCCACTATAGCCTACACAATGTAAGCATTACAACATTTTGACATAATGGCCTCTGGCGCGTAGGTGATATTAAGGCCCGGGAACTGCTTCACCTCATGATTGGTGGTAGTGTCGACGCGCATCGCCAGGTTCTTCTAGAACTGGTCGAGCCGCGTGTTGCTCGTCCCTGTGTATAGCAATTCCTCGACACACACGGTGCGCAGGATGTAACCGCCGCAAAAGTGTGGGAGATACATGCATGGGTCGTGAGGCAGCTGCGTGAATCCTATATCGAGTATGATTTTGTGCAGGTGCTACTGCCAGAGCCGTGGTGCTTGCTTGATCCCGTTGAAAAAAAACTTCAGCTAACACACACACGGGTCCTCTTTGCTGTAAGTGTGAGGCTGCTCCACGAATATTACTGCACCCAACAACGCGTATAGGAACGCGTTATTCGCGCCGATCTGGCCGAGAGGTAAGTGCCTTGCTGCAACGATGGCAAGAACGATTTTGACGGAGGTATGACGGCTGGCCGGCGCGAAGGTCTGATCGAAGTCGATGCCGTGCCTCTAATCGTGGCCGCGTACGACCCAGCGCGCTTTGAAGCGCTCGATTGTCCCGTCTGCTGCGGTGTTCACACGGAAGACCCACTTCCCGAAAAGCACTCTCCTTCCCTTGATCGTTGCGCGGTCGACGAGCACCCAGGTGTCGCGCGACTCTAAGGCCTTAATTTCTTCGTCCATGGCTTCGCGCCATCCATTGTTTTGAGGACCCGTCAGCTCTGGTCACGGGTTCTTCGGCTCGATGACGCGCGGAGCTGTGGAGGTGGCGGTGTGTAGGCCCAACAGCCACAGCCCAGAGACGGTGCTATCATGGAAGTGTTGCGGAACGACTTCATGTATGTCGTCATCGTCGCTCTTTGGTTCATGTGGAGAATACTGCGTAGGATCCCTGATGCTTCCTCCTGCGGGTCCCGGGGGTGAGTCGTCGTCATCGTCGTCGCCATCGTCGCCGATGTCGAAGAACGCGCTGACGTTGTCCTGCTCGAGGATGGCGGCGGCGGCTTCATCTTCGGGGTTAGCGTAGCTCTGCCCGTCATTCGCGTAGACCCCTATTTGCGCGTGCCGACTCATCCGCTCGGTACTGAGCGATATTAAGTCGCTCGTAGAATATGACGTATCGCGCATTTGTAACCCTGTTGATGAGTATGCCTAGGATGATCCATGCTTTGTATTCGTAACTGATTCCCATATGAATGCCCCATCGCGCGTGGCTTGTGAACTTCTTGATGGTTGAAGTGGGCCGGCGGTACTGCACCATGCACCCCTATTCGCAGAGCATGGAGTTGTTGCCCTTCTTGCGTCTCCATTTCACATGCGGAGACAGGTTCCCCGTGATGGCCGTGGTCGAGAGGAGGTTGTGAACACACACGACATGGTGCATCGCGTACGACCAGTAGGCGGCGGGAAGCTTCGACTTCTTAAATAGCGCGCGCACCTTCGTCATGAGGGTGCGATTGGTGCGTTCAGCGACGCCCTGCTGCTGATGCGCGTAGGGGAGGGAGACGTGGTGTGAGATCCCCTGTTGCGCCATGTAGTCCTGCATGAGATTTTAATTAGAATTGTATGATAGAATCAACCAAGCTCGCCACCAACTGCATATAATGTATGATAGAATTGTATGATTTTTTCTATATAGTATAATTTTGCATGTCAGAAATTTTAAGAAATTATTGGTTTTGACCATCCCCCATGATTTATTTTAGAACATAGAGAGTGACTTTCATATATGATTACTTCATTTGGTGCTAGTGAGAAGAGAGACTTGTAGATGATGAAGCGTATAGAAGCCACACAAATGATTGATGGTTGGGGTGGGGGAGTTGGGGCTTGTGTTGGCGTAGCTACTGTGTGGCGGTGTACGGCAGGTGAACTGTTCAACCGTTAGATCCATCCAGCAACGGTTTGGCAATTTATTGGCACATTCAGGACCCTTCACCAACGACAATCAGCCGTAATTCGCCCAGCCTCACAGTTGCTCACGTGGGAGGGGGACCGATGCGTTCTTTGTGGCCATCTGGCTACCCTGTATGCCGGGTGAAATGTATCCCTTGGTTATGTGTTGGTGCTTGGTTTGTTCAATTATTCTTCAGGTATCCTGGTTTCCCGCCACAATCTGGGTAGCGTTTCTGTCACACCCGAGATGATTTCACGCTCAGTGGTTGTCTCCATATATACATAAATATACATAAACTTTGCAAACAAACCGGCTACGTTTGCCACGAAACCGCCCAGGCAAAAGCTACAAGCACGCAAACCTGCTTTGATTGGACGACCTTGAATCCGAGCCTGCAAATACACCAGATGTGGCTCGGCGGCACTGGTACTGCAAGAACCTTGCACACCCAAGCCCAAACAGCCAGTGACTTGGTTGGGTTGCGTCCGGAATTTCAGCGGTAAGGGTGATATGGTTTGTTATGTACAACCTGCTCGGGCTTACAATATCCTTGGAGAATTTTACATTCACTAGGGAGTAGCAAGCGAATTTTAGCAAGAGAACATTTGTGTTCACGACCTTCAATGACTGCGGGGCCTGGTTTGACGGGACACAAGGTGTTGTGAAGGGAACCGCACAAGCATAATCGAACCTCTCTGTCACCTCCCCTCAGTGAGAATCAAACCACATCGAAACTGTGCAGTCGGAACGAAGCTGAACCAGCACCCGATACTGTACAGTATACTACAGTAATTCCGCTCCGCCCTACCTCCGCCTTCAGCCCACTGCCCATGGCGCTTGCGCTAAAGGGGCCTGCTGCGCGTACAGCCGAAAGCTGCGCCAACCTTCCTTCCGCTTCCCCCAACCAACATAACCTAAACCTGGCAACCTAGAGACTTCCTAACAGCACCTAATTTCCTGATACCGTCGCGCAAGCGCCGCTCCTTTCTCATACTTGGTCCGCTCGGCACTCCCTATGTTCACTGGTCATTCTCCTTCGCGTAGTTGTTCTGGCGTGGGAACCAAGGCAGCTGCCGCCATCTAGCCGTTTCACTTGCAGCATTAGGAACGATACTTCCAAAAGGTCTAGTATGTCAACTTCAGTCTCGAAGAATGCTCCAGCTCCTATGCACCTCTAACTTCTGTTGTACATATCAAATCCTCCCGTTTCAAGCACGCCTGTATATCACTAGCTTCGACCCTTCGTTTCGATTTTAGTCTCGCCCGTCCCTCGAGAGAATCTCCTCTGACATTCCCCCATCGAAGGTTACTAACGACGAGGCTTCGTATCTAACCCTAGCTCGTTAACACCTCAGGACAGTCAGATTTTTGGGTTGAATCAAAATTAGGTCGACCAGACGCCAATTACGAGTCGGGAAATCCTTTTCCCAACGGAGACTTGCCTGTACAGTTCCCGCCATTCCTCTCGCAGGAGATAATCTCCAGCAGCGGCAGTGTCGGTTCATATACGCTCATTGCCCGGACGCGGCCGTCCCCTAATTTCCTGGTCTTCTTCTAGGCTGATCTCCAGTTCTCCTCCTATTCCTCTCCTCGAAGCGCGTCAGAAGAGCAGCTTCTAACAGAACGGCCGCTACGAGGCGCCATGAACAGGTACGAGGCTTACCGACTTTATTCCCTTCTTCCCTATCCGTTTCTGGGCGTGCTCTCTCTCTTAGATCTGCCTGGCTGTGGTCATTGGAGAGCAGGTGGTGACACGTGGTATGACGTCCCAGCGATTCCAGGAACACGTGGACGGGGTAGGTAGTGACACGTGGATGAACTGGAGAGTTTGAAGACGTCTACATAGCCAGTCGGTCCTACAGGTCGGCTATGGACACGTGGAGGAGCGGTAGGACACGTGGCGGAGCGGCAGAGTACGAGGTTTGCGCCAGGCAGGGGTGGTCGGAAACGGTACGGGTGGATGGCAACGATAAGGTCGATAGAAACGAAGGGTTGGGCAACGGGGAAAAGGGTGACTGATCACTTTACGCGGATTGGCTCATTGCGCTGCGCCAAGTAGGGATGGAGACGGTAAGGGTGGAAAGAGACGGTTAGGGTGGACGGAGACGGTAAAGTTGGACGGAGACGGTTAGGGTGGACGGGGAAGGAAATGGTGGACGGAGACGGAAAGGGGGACGGAGAGAAAGGGGGACGGATACGGTTAGGGTGGACGGAGAGCGTTAGGGTGGACGGAAGCGGAAAGGGTGGACGGAGACGATGGATGGGGGCGGTTACGGGGGACGGAGACAGTAAGGGTAGACGGAGACGGTGGAAGTGAAGAGTACCATGAGCACAGCTATCTAGCGCAACTCTCGAGAAAACGCAATTGGTTATTATTCATACGCGTCGCTGCGACCTCCGCGGCTCCCCTTACAAGCTCCTCTACGACGCCTTTCCCACTCGCCTCAACTCTTTCTTAAAGCCAGGGTCTCATGTACGGGTTGGCCGTGCAACTGCAAAGCACTTGGGCGAAAAGTGGGTTCTTTGGAGAGTCTCGATTTGTCAAAAGTTTGGGCCCAAATTTGTAAACCAATCAGACAGGCCCGTTTTGCATCGACTGCAAAGCAATTGGTCTACTTGAGACCCTGGCTTTAAGGCGCCTTAAAAAGAGGACGAAAAAAATCCTCGGCTCCCTTACAAGCTGATCGCTTATCGATTACAAGGGAAATCGATGGGTTGGAACCGCGTGTTGCTGCGGTTCGAACGCATCCCCTTCTCCGCGCATGCATGTCCCGTTCGACACGTGGCGTCCTCGACGTCGTGTGCTTGTCGTAGAGCTCGCGTCGCGTCACGTAACAGCGCCTTAAAGCACGTCCCGAAGCGTCTCGATGTGTCATTAGACGTCTCAAAGCACGTCATAACAGCGCCTGAAACACGTCTTAGACAGCGTTTTAAAACCCACTCAAATCGTGGAGTGCTCGTCGAAGCGCTAGCTTTATCTGCGTCATTGGGGGGACGGAATATTGGACGCGTTCGTTCGTTGAAGAACGGAGTGTTGTGGTGCACTGTACGTGTTAATGTACAGTGCTATATTATATTGAAGAATGTTATATGCGTGTACATACATGTTCCTCGTGCCTTGTATTCGCGCAGGTACAAGGTGATGAAGCAGCTCGGGGACGGCACTTACGGGACCGTCTGGAAGGCTCTCAACCCATACCTTGTCGTATTCAGCACACCCACCCACCCCTCTTCCCCCTCCCCCTTCTCCTCTTCCCCGTCCCCCTCGCGCAGGTACAAGGTGATGAAGCAGCTCGGGGACGGCACTTACGGAACCGTGTGGAAGGCGCTTAACCTGCACACGAACGAAATTGTGAGTGTATAGTATTGGGACCGACAGGGTAGACTAGTGCAAGCAATTCGACTCGATATTCACCTCCGCCTGGAAGGCGCTTAAATTGCGCACGAACGAATTGTAGTCAAATGAGATAGTGGATGTACATTAATGAGATTGTTGAGTACATACGGGAAGTGTTTATGAGCCTGCGAGATGCGTGGGCGTCATCTTGCACCCCGCTTACCCCATTTCATGTCTGAACCCCTCATACCATCTCCGACACCTCCCCCGCCCCCTCTTTCTCCTCCTCCCCTCCCCCTCTCTCTCACCCCCCCACTCATGGGACGAGTGCATGAGCCTGCGACGAGTGCATGAGCCTGCGACGAGTGAGGGCGTCTCACTTACACCCTGCACTCCCTCCTCTCTCCCTCCACCCCGTGCCTCCAACTCGCTCGTCCCTTCGTCTCCCCTCCCAGGTTGCTGTCAAGAAGATGAAGCGCAAGTTTTATTCATGGGACGAGTGCATGAGCCTCCGAAAGGTCAAGGTAGGTCCCTGGAGAGGCAGAAGAGAGGAGCGGAAGGAAGGGGGAAGGTGGACGAGGGACTGGGGGAAAGGCGGGAAGGAATGGGGAAGGAAGGGGAAGAAGGGGATGAGTGCATGTGCCTGAGAGAGGTCACGATGGGTAAGGAGGGAAGGGGGAAAAGGAGGCGTAAGGAGTGAGGAAGGAGGGGAGAAGGGAGAGGCGGAAGGGGAGGAACGATATGAGTGCATGAGCCTATGAGAGGTCAAGATAGGTAGAGGAGGGGGGAGGGGGGGTAAAAGGTGGGAGAAGGAGTGGGGAAGTAGTAAAAGGGCGGAAAGAGGGAAAGTGGGGAAGGAGGGAAATGGGAATGATCAGGAAAAAGCGTTGGGCGAGATTTGTGAGGAAGTGGGTGTGTGTGAGGGAAAGGGAGAGTTGATGCCGTGGGCCAAAGCACCGTCTGGCAAAGCTTTGCTATCGTCTAGCAAAGCACTGCTATCGTCTAGCAAAGCACTATCTCCCTCTAGCAAAGCACTATCGCCCTCTAGCAAAGCACTATCTCCCTCTAGCAAAGCACTATCTCCCTCTAGCAAAGCACTATCTCCCTCTAGCAAAGCACTATCTCCCTCTAGCAAAGCACTATCTCCCTCTAGCAAAGCACTATCTCCCTCTAGCAAAGCACTATCTCCCTCTAGCAAAGCACTATCTCCCTCTAGCAAAGCACTATCTCCGTCTAGCAAAGCACTGCTATCGTCTAGCAAAGCACTATCTCTGTCTAGCAAAGCACTATCTCCGTCTAGCGAAGCACTATCTCCGTCTAGCAAAGCACTGCTATCGTCTAGCAAAGCACTATCTCCGTCTAGCAAAGCACTATCTCCCTCTAGCAAAGCACTATCTCCGTCTAGCAAAGCACTATCTCCGTCTAGCAAAGCACTGCTATCGTCTAGCAAAGCACTATCTCCGTCTAGCAAAGCACTATCTCCCTCTAGCAAAGCACTATCTCCGTCTAGCAAAGCACTATCTCCCTCTAGCAAAGCACTATCTCCGTCTAGCAAAGCACTATCTCCCTCTAGCAAAGCACTATCTCCGTCTTGCAAAGCACTATCTCCGTCTAGCAAAGCACTGCTATCGTCTAGCAAAGCACTATCTCCGTCTAGCAAAGCACTATCTCCCTCTAGCAAAGCACTATCTCCGTCTAGCAAAGCACTATCTCCCTCTAGCAAAGCACTATCTCCGTCTAGCAAAGCACTATCTCCCTCTAGCAAAGCACTATCTCCGTCTCGCAAAGCACTATCTCCCTCTAGCAAAGCACTGCTATCGTCTAGCAAAGCACTATCTCCGTCTAGCAAAGCACTATCTCCCTCTAGCAAAGCACTATCTCCGTCTAGCAAAGCACTATCTCCCTCTAGCAAAGCACTATCTCCGTCTAGCAAAGCACTATCTCCCTCTAGCAAAGCAGTATCTCCGTCTCGCAAAGCACTATCTCCCTCTAGCAAAGCACTATCTCCCTCTACACGGCTCTTCTGCAAGCCCTCCCTGTACATCGCCCCAGTCTCCCCACACCCTCCAGTCGCTGCGCAAGCTGAACCACCCCAACATAGTGCGGCTGAAGGAGGCTAATTTGTCCCTTGTCTCCCTTCTCCCCATTTCCTCCATCTCTTCCCTCTCTTCTGCTCTTCACCCCTCCGCCCCCCCACACTCCAGTCGCTGCGCAAGCTGAACCACCCCAACATAGTGCGACTGAAGGAGGTGATTCGCGAGAACAATGAGCTGTTCTTCATATTCGAATTCATGGTGAGGCGTGGTGGGGGAGCGGGAGGGTGCGAGGGGGATGAATGAATGAGGAGTGGAAGGAGCGGGCTCGCATCACTTGTGGTTGATAGTGCGATTGAAGGAGGTGATTCGCGAGAACAGTGAGCTGTTCTTCATATTCGAATTCATGGTGAGCTTGAAGGTGTGGGGGAGCGGGAGAGAGAGTGGGGATGAATGATGGAATGGAAGGAGTGGCATTGAAGCAGGTGCAATACTTGTAGGTGTAGTGCGACTGAAGGAGGTGATCAGGGAGAACAACGAGCTGTTCTTCATGTTCGAATTCATGGTGAGGCGTTGGGGGGGGGGGGGGGCAGTGTTTGAATGTTTGAATGATGGAAGAAGCGGTTTTGAAGCACTCGTAACCATCATAGGTAGAGTGGCTGTACGGGAGAGTTGATGGGGAGCTGTGGGGGAAGGGGGCAATGGGATGAGTGAGGATAGTGTGGATGTAGCAGTTTGAAGCACTAGCAGCGCTCTCAGCACTATTGAGACACTTCAATTTTCTCGAAGGCACTTACAACCTTGAACCATCTGATGAAGGAAATAAAAACCTACTTTCAACCCTCAGTGCTTTGAGGGCCACTCACAACACCTTTTCTATCTGTCTGTCTCCGCGCATGTGAGTGCAGGAGTGCAACCTGTACCATCTGATGAAGGACAGAGAGACGTACTTTCAGGAGTCCACCGTTCGCAACTGGATGTACCAGGTGCTGCTGGGCCTGGCGCACATGCACAAGCACGGCTACTTCCACCGCGACCTCAAGCCAGGTCGGGGGTTGAGAGGGGTTGGAAGGGGCAGACGCAGGTCGGGGGGAATGGACGCAGGTGGGTGGAGGTGGGTGGGTGAGGGTGCAATCTCCCCTCCCCCTCCCTTCCCCCTTGGGTGCTGCTGGGCCTGGCGCACATGCACAAGCACGGCTACGTCCACCGCGACCTCAAGCCAGGTGAGGGGTTGAGAGGGGTTGAGGCAGGTTGGAGGGGAAATGCAGGTGGGTGGAGGCAGGTAGGTGAGGGTGCACCTCTCCCCCCCTCCCCCAGGTGCTGCTGGGCCTGGCGCACATGCACAAGCACGGCTACGTCCACCGCAACCTCAAGCCAGGTGGGGGGTCAAGCTACGTGGGAGGAGGGGATGGAGGGGGCAGACGCAGGTGGGGGGATAGATCTCAGGGGGTGGAGGCAGGTGGGTGAGGGTGCACCTCTCCCCCCCTCCTCAGGTGGTTGGGCCTGGCGCACATGCACAAGCACGGCTACTTTCACCTCGACCTCAAGTCAGGTGGGGGGTTGTTGCAGGGGGGGGTGTAGATAGACGCAAGCCGGTGGGGGAGTGGAGGCGGGTGCTCGTCCCCTTTGCCCTCCCAAGTGCTGCCATCCCTGGTATTCAAGGTCCTGATAGAGAAGTAGATTCGACCCAGATCCAGCAAATGCTGCCATCCCTGGTATTCAAAAAAACAGATTCAGTCCAAGGTCCTGATTAAGGTTGCTTGAGAGGTGACTCAATATGCCATTTCTCTCTGTTCCTCCCACATCTGTGTGTGTGTGTGTGTGCGCTCGAGCCTGTGCGTGTGCGCGTGCGCATGGGTGTGCGTGTGTGTGTTTCTGTGTGTGTGTGTGTGTGTGTGTCTGCGTGTGTGTGTGTCTGTGTCTGTGTCTGTGTCTGTGCGTGTGTGTGCCTGTTTCTTTCCCCACCATGTCTGCATTCAGAAAACCTGCTAGTGACCAAGGACCTGATCAAAGTGGCTGATTTCGGCCTGGCAAGGGAGATCAAGTCCCGCCCTCCCTGCGCAAACTACGTTCCCTCCCATCCCATGTGTGCCGTCCGCCGACCATCCATGCGTGTGTGCCCGTCTCTTTCCCCTCCATCCATGTGTATCCAGAGAATCTACTAGTGACTAAGGACTTGATAAAGGTGGCGGATTTCGGATTGGCGAGGGAGATCAAGTCGCGGCCTCCCTTCACAGACTACGTGTCTACCCGATGGTGGGTGGGTGGTTGGGTAGTAGGGTGGGTGGGTGGGGGGTTGGGTTGGTGGGTGCGTGGGTGGTATAGGGGTGGGTTGGTGGGTGGGTGGTGGGTGGGTTGTGTTATGTTGGGACTGCAGAGATAGGGATATAAAGATAGGCTGATGGAATAAAATATAAGTAAAGATGAAGTCATAAAGATGAAGTCGTAAAGATGAAGTCGTGACTTCTCTTCACACACTATGCATCCACCTGATGATGGCTAGGTGGGTGGCTTCCTTCCCTGATGAGGGTGCACGGCTTCCCTTCCCTGATGAGGGTGCACGGCTTCCCTTCCCCTCCCCTCGTGCCCTCCTCCCGCTCTCCTTGTCGTTACCCCCTCCCCTGATTCTGTGTTTTTTTGCTTCTTTCGGTTGCAACTTAATTCCTTCCCACCCGCCCTTTTCTTCTCATTCCCCTCTCCTGCCCCTTCATCCTCTTCTCATCCTCCTCTCTTTCTCCCTCCCTCCCTCCCTTCCATCGTCAGTTCACTTATGCCTTTTCTCATGCTCGTCCTCATGCTTACTTTCATGCTCCCACCCATTCCCCTGTCATCATCCCCCTCACTCGCTCATTTCCATCTCACTGTCCTCTCCCTCTCGTTACCCTCCCATACTCCCTCCCATCCCATGTCATCCTCCCTCTCTCCCTCCCTGTCTCATGTCACCTCAGGTATCGAGCACCGGAGGTGTTACTTCAGTCAACAGTTTACAACGCCCCAATAGGTGCGTCAGCTTCCTTTGTTACCAACGGTGTGCTTTGCTTTCGTGGTTTTCTTCGGCAGCCTTTAGTCATGAGAGGTTTGGGTTGTAGGGTTTACCACGAGGGCCCCTATATGTACAGGTAGTCATGTGTATGCACACGGGTCCATCGACTACCTGTATCCGTGCTGTCGCTCATTCTTTCACGCTGGATCTCTGCTCCCCCTTCCCCGCGCCTCCCCTCCTTTCCCCTCCCCTCCCCTCCCCTCCCTTCCCCTCCCCTCCCCTCCCCTCCCTTCCCCTCCCCTCCCCTCCCCTCCCTTCCCCCCCCTCCCTTCCCCCCCCTCCCCTCCCCCCTCCCCTTCCCTCCCCTCCCCTCCTCTCCCCTTCCCTCCCCTCCCCTCCCCTCCCATCCCATCCCCCGCTCTTCCCTTCCCTGCCCCTCCCCTCCCCTCCCCTCCCCTCCCGTCCCCCGCGCTTCCCTTCCCCTCACCCCCCCTTCCGCTGTACCCATGCAGACATGTGGGCGATAGGAGCGATTATGGCGGAGCTATTCACACTTGAGCCTCTGTTCCCTGGAGCAAGGTAATGACTCTTGCAACCAGGCATTGTGATACACCGATTTTTTAGTCGACTAAAAAACAGGCATTGTGATACACCGCGGAATTTTATGACTCTAGTTTCCAGTAAATTGTAATGTTTGGTGCTCCCTCTCCAAAACTCCTTTCCACCAAACCGCACAATCCCCCCCGCACCCATCTCCCATCTCCTCTCTCGCCCTCTTCCTTTCCCCCCCTCCCCCATCCCGCTCCTCCTCCCCCAGTCTCCCATCTCCTACCAATCCTCCTCTTTTAGGATCTTAGTCAATTTAAACGCCACTAATCTCCTCCCCCCCTCCTCCCCCCCTCCCTCCGTTCTCCTCCCTCACCCACCTCATTTTCCATATATTAGTGAGATTGATGAGATTCTCAAGATCTGCGCTGTGATTGGCACGCCAACTCCCAGAACATGGCCTCAGGGTCTCCGCCTTGCAGCTTCCATGAACTTTCGCTTCCCTGAGGTGTGCTTGCCTTTCGTCTAGCCATGCCATGCCATGCCATACTGTGCCAGTTGCTCTTTCGAGTCATGCCATAATAATCAACGAACCAGCTACACTTCTCACTGCCCTCTGCTCCTGGGACCCTGCTAGTTGCCCCACAACACTCAACCCCCCACTTCTCTTTCCCCTCTTTTCCGACCCCTCTCCTTCCTTTCCCACCTTCCCCCCTTCCCTCCTCCCCCCCTTTCAGTACTCGCCCATCCCGCTCGCTCAAATCATGCCCATGGCATCAGACGAGGCAGTCGACCTGGTCACTGCCCTCTGCTCCTGGGACCCCGCCAGACGCCCCTCCGCTGCTCAGGCGTTGCAGCACCCATTCTTCCTGGTGAGAGCATGACTGTGGCAGTGCGCATGTGTAATCATGGGTTTGAAGGGGATTCAGGGAGGGGCATATAGTGTGATAGAGAGGAGCAGTTGACCTGGTCACTGCTCTCTGCTCCTGGGACCCTGCCAGGCGCCCCACAGCTGCTCAGGCGCTGCAGCACCCCTTCTTCCTGGTGAGAGGCCGTGGCCGTGTGTGTGTGAGTGTGTGTGTGTGTGTGTGTGTGTGTGTGTGTGTGTGTGTGTGTGTGTGTGTGTGTGTGTGTGTGTGTCTATGGGTTCGACGGGAATTCACAAGGCAGGATCTAGTGTAGTGTGATGGGGAGGAGCAGTCGACCTGGTGATCGCTCTCTGTTCCTGAGACCCCGCAAGGCGCCCCTCTGCTGCCCAGTCGCTGCAGCACCCCCTTCTTCCTGGTGAGAGAAACCTTGGCAGGCAGTGGGTGTGTGGGGCGGGTAGGATTTATAAGGGGGAATGAAAACGGGTAAGGAGTGGTGGGGAGGAAGGTTGATATAGGCAAGCAGTCAGCCGCGTGACTGCCCATTGCTGGCCACTGACGCCCTGTGTTCTCTCCCCCCTCTTCTCTTTCCTGCTGCCCCTTCTCTTCCCTCCCCCTCCCGAGCAGAAGGGAGTGACCCTCCCCTACACACCCAAGAAGCCCAAGTCCTCCTCCTCTTCCTCCACAACAACCGGTCCCGTCGTCCCCATCACCACGCCCTCCCAACTCGCCGCCGCCTCCCACGCTGCCCTCTCTGGCTCTCTCGGTCTCCCCGACCTGGGGCAAACCCTCCTGCAGCCTGTGCTTCGTGCTGTTGCCTCATCGCTCTCCTCTTTCTCTTCCCTCTTCTCCCTTCTCTTCTCTTCCCCCCCTCCTCCCGAGCAGAAGGGAGTGACCCTCCCCTACACACCCAAGAAGCCCAAGTCCTCCTCCTCTTCCTCCACAACAACCGGTCCCGTCGTCCCCATCACCACGCCCTCCCAACTCGCCGCCGCCTCCCACGCTGCCCTCTCTGGCTCTCTCGGTCTCCCCGACCCAGGGCAAACCTTCCTGCAGCCTATGCCGCGTGCTGTTGCCTCTCCCCTGCATGGAGCAGGACCAGGGGCGGGACTGGGGCAGGGGCAAGGTCAAGGGCAAGGGCAGGGGTATGTGACAGAGCAGCAGCAACAGGTTCCTGTTCCAAAGCTGTACCAGGCACAGCCGCAGCAACTACAACAACAGCAACAACTTCAGCAGCAGCAGCAGCAGCAGCAGCAGCAGTACCAGCAGCACCAGCAACCCCCCCAGCAGCAGCACCTTCTGAGTCCCACGACTCAGCTGAGTCCGAGAATACAGCAGAGCCCTCTGCAGGACGGAGAGCCACTGAGCCCTCACATGCTCCCAAGCCCCCTCCACGCCCCTCTCCCTCAGGCACAGGCGCAGGCACAGGGGCAGGGGCAGGGGCAGGGGCAGGGAGTGGGATTAGGGCAGGCGGGAGGGCAGGGGCAAAGGCAGGGCGGGCAGGTGCGGAAATGGCACCAGCAAGGGCAGAAAACGGGAGGGCAGTTGCAGCAGCCGCTGCAGCAGCCAGTGCAGCAGATGGGGGGACAAATGGGGCCCGGGCAGGGGAAGGGAGCTTTGGTGCAGGGCGGAGGGTTAGCAATGGGGGGATATGGGTTGGGAGGGCATGGAGGAGGGGGCTATGGGCCGGGAGGGCAAGTATCAGAGGGTGATTATGAGCAGGGAGGGAGTCTGGGTAACAGGGCAGGGGCGTACCAGCAAGGCTCGTTGTCTCCCCTCCACCTACAGTCACAATCATCACAATCACAGTCTCAGTTACAGTCACAAATGCAGGCACAGTCACAGGCGCAGCTACAAGTGCAGTTACAGGCACAGTTGCAAATACAGTCGCACCTGCCCCAGATGCAACCTCCCCGCTCCCCCCAACGCTCCACCTCCCAGATCCCTCCCCGATCACCTCTGCGCTCGCCCCTCCACTCCCCCATGCACTCCCCTGTGCACCCGTCCTTAGAAGGGTCTGCTGTGAGGGCTCTACAAGCGCCTCAGGCTACCCAGCATTCCCAGCAGGGGCACTACCAGGGGCAGCAGCAGTATCAGGGGCAGCAATATCAGGGTCAGTACCCCCCCCAACAGCAGTACCAGCAGCAGCAGCAACAACAGCAGTATCAGCAGCAGCAGCAGTACCAGCAGCAGTACCAGCAGCAAGAGCAGGGGTTTACAGAGCGGGCGGATGAGGGAGGAGCAGGGGGGGGGTATGCAGACGGAGGGACAGACGGAACAGGAGCAGGCGGGGGGGGTGGGGGAGGAAAGTCAGAGAAGCGAGGGTTTTTCTCGCGAAAACTGGGCGGGTCGAAGAGTATAGGCAGGAATAACCCGCCGGGTGATGCCAAGGGAGGGGGAGGAGGAGGGGGAGGTGGGGGAGGTGGAGGAGGAGGAGGTGGGGTTAGCAAGCTTGCTTCATTGCAACGATACGGAAGCCAATTACTAGGTGGGCTACATTCCCGAGTTGACTTTTGAGTCGACTCAAAAGTCAACTAGGTAGGGGAGGAGGAGGGGTTAGCAAGCTTGCTTCGTTGCAACGATACGGAAACCAATTGTTAGGTGGGCTGTCTATGCTCCACTATGTTCCACTCCCTTGTTCAGTTGCCTCGAAGGCAATTACTAGGTGATACGCCTTGAGAAGCCTTGACCCACGTCGGGCCATCCAATGCATTCCATGCCATGCCATGCCATGCCATGTGCTGCCATGGCCTTATTTTACTCTCCTTCTGCTCTCTCCCCTCTCTCCTTACCCCAACCCCAACCCCATGTCTCTCCCTCCTTATGCCCTTATGTCCTTCCCTCCCCATGTGCTCTGTGTCCCATGCTCTCTCTGTGTCCCATGCTCTCTCTGTGTCCCATGCTCTCTCTGTGTCCCATGCTCTCTCTGTATCCCAGGCATGGCCCGCCATTCCGCATCTGCCTCTGTCAACTCATCAAATGCGATCGGCTCCATATCCACTAGATCCGTAAGAACACCATGCATCCATCCACACCGCTGTGCGTCCATCAACACCACTGTGCATCCATCAGCACCGCTGTGTATCCATCAACACCACTGTGCATCCATCAGCACTGCTGTGCATCCATCAGCACTGCTGTGCATCCATCAGCACCTCCGTGCATCCTTCAGCACCGCTGTGCATCCATTCACCCTGCGTTTGCTTGCTAAGAAATCTCATGCCAGCTCTTCTCTCACTCTCCCAACCCCCTTCCCCTCTCCATCCTCGCACTCTCTCCTTCCCATGCTCCCTGTACTTTTGTATATCATTCAAACCCACACAACCCCTCCAAACCCCACACTACCCCTCCACACCTCACAACCCCTCCAAACCACCCACCACCCCTCCTTCCCCTCCCGTGTGCCTTCTGTTTCAGGACAAGTCAATATCAGCCAGCCAAAGCAACCCCCCCCCCCCCACCCCCCCGACCCCCTCCTAACCCCTCCTAACCCCCCCCACCCCCGTCTCCCCCCCCCCTCCTTCCCCTCCCGTGTGCCTTCTGTTTCAGGACAAGTCAATATCAGCCAGCCAAAGCAACTCCTCCTACCTCCCCGCTCCCCCCCTCCCCTCCCCCTACCCCCCCCCTCCCCATCCTCCCCCAACCCCGCCTAAACCCCCCCACCCCCGTCTCCCCCTCCCCTCCCCCTCACACCCCCGTTTTCCCTCCTCCGCCCCTTCTGTTTCAGGACAAGTCAGTCTCAGCCAGCCAAAGCAACTCTGCAGGAGCAGGTGAGCCGTTGAATCAGACTTTCCTATATGTATTCGTTTAGCTACTATGCCATCTCGTATAATCCGTCTCACATCCGATCCACCTTATTCCTGCTTTTCACTAATTTCCAGCTTCAACTGCCCCTCCGGACCCCTCCCCCTCCCCCTCCCACCCCCCCCTCCTCCTCTATCTCCCCTCCCCTCACCCTTCAATTCCGCTTTTGCAATACCCTCTTCCAACTTTCGCTTTTAATGCACTGCCCACTGCCCTGCCCACTGCCCTGCCCACTGCCCTGCCCACTGCCCTGCCCACTGCCCTGCCCACTGCCCTGCCCACTGCCCTGCCCACTGCCCTGCCCACTGCCCTGCCCACTGCCCTGCCCACTGCCCTGCCCACTGCCCTGCCCACTGCCCTGCCCACTGCACTGCCCACTGCCCTGCCCACTGCCCTGCCCACTGCCCTGCCCACTGCCCTGCCCACTGCACTGCCCACTGCCCTGCCCACTGCCCTGTCCACTGCCCTGCCCACTGCACTGCCCACTGCCCTGCCCACTGCCCTGCCCACTGCCCTGCCCACTGCCCTGCCCACTGCCCCTGCCCACTGCACTGCCCACTGCCCTGCCCACTGCCCTGCCCACTGCCCTGCCCACTGCCCTGCCCACTGCCTTGCCCACTGCACTGCCCACTGCCCTGCCCACTGCCCTGCCCACTGCACTGCCCACTGCCCTGCCCACTGCCCTGCCCACTGCACTGCCCACTGCCCTGCCCACTGCCCTGCCCACTGCCCTGCCCACTGCACTGCCCACTGCCCTGCCCACTGCCCTGCCCACTGCCCTGCCCACTGCACTGCCCACTGCCCTGCCCACTGCCCTGCCCACTGCCCTGCCCACTGCCCTGCCCACTGCCCTGCCCACTGCACTGCCCACTGCCCTGCCCACTGCCCTGCCCACTGCCCTGCCCACTGCACTGCCCACTGCCCTGCCCACTGCCCTGCCCACTGCCCTGCCCACTGCCCTGCCCACTGCCCTGCCCACTGCCCTGCCCACTGCCCTGCCCACTGCCCTGCCCACTGCCCTGCCCACTGCCCTGCCCACTGCCCTGCCCACTGCCCTGCCCACTGCCCTGCCCACTGCCCTGCCCACTGCCCTGCCCACTGCACTGCCCACTGCCCTGCCACTGCCCTGCCCACTGCCCTGCCCACTGCCCTGCCACTGCCTGCCCACTGCACTGCCCACTGCCCTGCCCACTGCCCTGCCCACTGCACTGCCCACTGCCCTGCCCACTGCCCTGCCCACTGCACTGCCCACTGCCCTGCCCACTGCCCACTGCCCTGCCCACTGCCCACTGCCCTGCCCACTGCCCACTGCCCTGCCCACTGCCCACTGCCCTGCCCACTGCCCTGCCCACTGCCCACTGCCCACTGCCCTGCCCACTGCCCACTGCCCTGCCCACTGCCCTGCCCACTGCACTGCCCACTGCCCTGCCCACTGCCCTGCCCACTGCACTGCCCACTGCCCTGCCCACTGCCCACTGCCCTGCCCACTGCCCACTGCCCTGCCCACTGCCACTGCCCACTGCCCACTGCCCTGCCCACTGCCCACTGCCCACTGCCCTGCCCACTGCCCTGCCCACTGCCCACTGCCCTGCCCACTGCCCACTGCCCTGCCCACTGCCCTGCCCCTGCCCACTGCCCTGCCCACTGCCCTGCCCACTGCCCACTGCCCTGCCCACTGCCCTGCCCACTGCACTGCCCACTGCCCTGCCCACTGCACTGCCCACTGCCCTGCCCACTGCCCTGCCCACTGCCCACTGCCCTGCCCACTGCCCACTGCCCTGCCCACTGCCCACTGCCCTGCCCACTGCCCTGCCCACTGCCCACTGCCCTGCCCACTGCCCACTGCCCTGCCCACTGCCCACTGCCCTGCCCACTGCCCACTGCCCTGCCCACTGCCCACTGCCCTGCCCACTGCCCACTGCCCTGCCCACTGCCCACTGCCCTGCCCACTGCCCACTGCCCTGCCCACTGCCCACTGCCCTGCCCACTGCCCTGCCCACTGCCCTGCCCACTGCCCTGCCCACTGCCCTGCCCACTGCCCTGCCCACTGCCCTGCCCACTGCCCTGCCCACTGCCCTGCCCACTGCCCTGCCCACTGCCCTGCCCACTGCCCTGCCCACTGCCCTGCCCACTGCCCTGCCCACTGCCCTGCCCACTGCCCTGCCCACTGCCCTGCCCACTGCCCTGCCCACTGCCCTGCCCACTGCCCTGCCCACTGCCCTGCCCACTGCCCTGCCCACTGCACTGCCCACTGCCCTGCCCACTGCCCTGCCCACTGCCCTGCCCACTGCACTGCCCACTGCCCTGCCCACTGCCCTGCCCACTGCCCTGCCCACTGCCCTGCCCACTGCCCTGCCCACTGCACTGCCCACTGCCCTGCCCACTGCCCTGCCACTGCCCTGCCCACTGCCCTGCCCACTGCCCTGCCCACTGCACTGCCCACTGCCCTGCCCACTGCCCTGCCCACTGCACTGCCCACTGCCCTGCCCACTGCCCTGCCCACTGCACTGCCCACTGCCCTGCCCACTGCCCTGCCCACTGCCCTGCCCACTGCCCTGCCCACTGCCCTGCCCACTGCCCTGCCCACTGCCCTGCCCACTGCACTGCCCACTGCCCTGCCCACTGCCCTGCCCACTGCCCTGCCCACTGCCCTGCCCACTGCCCTGCCCACTGCCCTGCCCACTGCCCTGCCCACTGCCCTGCCCACTGCCCTGCCCACTGCACTGCCCACTGCCCTGCCCACTGCCCTGCCCACTGCCCTGCCCACTGCCCTGCCCACTGCACTGCCCACTGCCCTGCCCACTGCCCTGCCCACTGCCCTGCCCACTGCACTGCCCACTGCCCTGCCCACTGCCCTGCCCACTGCCCTGCCCACTGCCCTGCCCACTGCACTGCCCACTGCCCTGCCCACTGCCCTGCCCACTGCCCTGCCCACTGCCCTGCCCACTGCCCTGCCCACTGCACTGCCCACTGCCCTGCCCACTGCCCTGCCCACTGCACTGCCCACTGCCCTGCCCACTGCCCTGCCCACTGCACTGCCCACTGCCCTGCCCACTGCCCACTGCCCTGCCCACTGCCCACTGCCCTGCCCACTGCCCACTGCCCTGCCCACTGCCCACTGCCCTGCCCACTGCCACATGCCACTGCCCACTGCCCACTGCCACTGCCCACTGCCCACTGCCCTGCCCACTGCCCTGCCCCACTGCCCTGCCCACTGCCCTGCCCACTGCCCTGCCCACTGCACTGCCCACTGCGACTGCCCTGCCCACTGCCCTGCCACTGCCCTGCCCACTGCCCACTTGCCCTGCCCACTGCCCCACTGCCCTGCCCACTGCCCCTGCCCACTGCCCACTGCCCTGCCCACCTGCCCACTGCCCTGCCACTGCCCACTGCCCTGCCCACTGCCCACTGCCCTGCCCACTGCCCACTGCCCTGCCCACTGCCTGCCCACTGCCCACTGCCCTGCCCACTGCCCTGCCCACTGCCCACTTGCCCTGCCCACTGCACTGCCACTGCCCTGCCCACTGCCCTGCCCACTGCACTGCCCACTGCCCTGCCCACTGCCCACTGCCCTGCCACTGCCACTGCCCTGCCCACTGCCCCCTGCCCCTGCCCCTGCCCCTGCCTGCACTGCCCACTGCCACTGCCCACTGCCCACTGCCCTGCCCACTGCCCACTGCCCACTGCCCTGCCCACTGCCCACTGCCCTGCCCACTGCCCACTGCCCTGCCCACTGCCCACTGCCCTGCCCACTGCCCACTGCCCTGCCCACTGCCCACTGCCCTGCCCACTGCCCACTGCCCTGCCCACTGCCCACTGCCCTGCCCACTGCCCACTGCCCTGCCCACTGCCCACTGCCCTGCCCACTGCCCTGCCCACTTTCCCATTTCCCCACTGCCCATGGGCCTCTTCCTCTCCCACCCCTTACCGAGTTGACTTTTGCTAAAGGCTGCTGCCAAGTCATGGCTCCTACATGGGCCGTGTTTTGAGTCGACTCAAAACACAAGTCATGGCTCCTACATTGGACATTTCCCCATGGGCCTCTTCCTCTCCCACCCCATTGGCAGGTACGAGGGTGCGCTGTGTGTGTGTGGCTTGTGCGTTGTGTGTGTTGCATGTGTGTCATGCGTGTGGCATATGTGTTTTCACATTCTATCCATTCACCCCTCACTCCTTATTGCTCCTCCTCCCTGGCCCCGTTCACCTGCCACTTCCTCCGCTTCCTCCCACCACCCTTTTCCCACCCTCGTACCCGGCACACAAGAGGCACATACCCAGCCTCCTACACTCATACCCCCAACGGTGCTGCTGCTTGCGTGTTGCATGCATTGCGTGTGCCGCCTCCGTACTCTCCCAATTGGCCTTCCACTTCCACCTTTTCCTCACCCCTCCATACCCAAACACAGAAGAGGCACGTATCCAGCCGCCCACACTCATACCCCCAACGGTGCCCCTGCTGCTGCTGGAAGCGGCCGTTTCTACGAGGATTATGGCGACGGTGGCCGAGGGATGGGGGGAGATGCTCGGGGAGGAGGTGGAGGTGGTGCTGGTGGTGGTGGGATGCGCGGTGGGATGATGGGTGCAAGTGGGCAGTATGCTGTGGAGCCTCCAGGGTTCAGGGTTTACTGACATGGGAAGAAGGGGTTTTAGGAACCGTGGAAGGATTATTCCGTGGCTGGGAAATAAGGCTGGAGCGGTACTGGCATTACTGCTCTTTTGCCGTTTTACTTCTTTTACTCAGGGCGTCTCAGTTCTGAGGTAGTGCATTTTTTGCTGTGAGGTTCACTGACAACCCAGCAGCTATGGCCATCGACTAACCCCTTCGGATATGGTGCTGATTGACATGGTACAGTGAAGCACCCTCATTCAAATTGGCCTTTTTTCTTTTGGCTAATTGAGAGAGATGGCTGCATGGAAGCCAAATGGTTGCGCTAGTGTACATGTTCGGTATCTGAAACCTACACCTTACTGTTCCGCAAGGAGTACAGTACGAGATATACAGAAGAGAACCGACAGATGTTACCACCTACCTACTCTGCTACTGTATGACGCGCATCCGCTTCGCATCTCCCCCGAATTCACCCAGGCGGAGCGGAAATCGGGTCCGTTCGCGGTAAAAAGTGTTCCCCGCGCCAAATCCCGCTTTCCGCTGCGCTTGTGTACTTCAAGGGCTGCGTTTTGCAGGCGCATCAGCCCGGATGTCTGCAGTAAAACAGGGTTCCTGGATTCTTCCTTGATAACCTGTCACAGGTTATCGAGGCTCGCGATAAGCGCGTGGGTGCCGAAGCAAAAGAGACCCGAATGCCTGCAGAACAGCCTTTTTGGCCCTCGAAACTTTAAATGTGACCGCGTCCCAAGAAGTTTCCTTTCCTGGCGATCTGACGCATCACTGATGCGCGCATCATCAACCTCTCGAAGTCACATGATGCGCGCATAAGCTGGTGTGGGGCACCCTCATTGGTCAATCTGTTTTTTCCTGAACCCTCATTGGTTGGCACCTTCAAATATTATGCGCTGTAACTTCCTGGAAACCCGTAACGTTTTGGTTGTCGAAATTGAATGTCAGGAAATTGAATGTCTCAATTCCGAACCTCAATGTCACTCAATGTCTCAAGTCCACATCAGGCCGAGCCTCTGGCGCATCAGGCTGATGCTCCTGCAGAACACGGCCGGGCACGCATGTACGGCCATCCATCTGTCAGAGCTACTTGCTGCTGGTTGGTTCACCTGAATGACATGGCATATCACCAAGCATTGTAAAATGGTTCAGAGGTTTTATATACGCTCCAAAGCTTAAACACTTCGATTCGGGAATAATATCTGTTCACACAATATCTATCCACCCTCACTTCCAAACCTAATCTTGGGATGCTCGCAGTGCTTTCAACAAATACACAAGCTGCTGGGTCAACTTGACAGATAGAAGGTAAAATGGAATTCCCAAGTGTTCAGGGAATCAGAACCAGAGCGGTGTTCTGTTGTCAAGGCTGGATAGTAGGGAACTGAAATTAGGTACGGACGCTAGTGATTGAAATGCAGGTGCTTTGATATTCAGGTCGGGGCTCAAGAGGCTCAGGCACTAGAGAATCTCCCGCATTGGAAGTTCTTCTGCGATGCGTTCAACGAAAAAATAGCATTGGCGACAATGGAAGGTTGGTAGTTGATTCTCGAGAATTATATAATTTTCTTAGATTAATTGGGCTGCTTCTTGACGGCGCATCGTAGTTAATAAAGAGCCATGACATTTGTACGTACGCTGCCAATGGCAAGCCTATGGATAACGGTAAGCATTTGTTCAATGCCTGAATACAGGTCTAAATCTGTGCTTATCGTAGTTCTCGAAAATGCAGCGAAAAGGACTTTCAGCTTAATCCAACGTTTCATCCCCACCGTTCCCGTTCTTCCGCAGAGATTCGTCAAGGCGCTTAGCTAAGCACAGCACTCCCGCCAGCCGAAGATATTCAGCCCTTTTACACTCCGCGACTGCGGAGGTTCTTCGCTGATGCTATCTGCTGCTTATACGACGGCATTTAGTGCTGCGAATGGTCAGGACTGGAAATAGAAAGAAGGGAGGTAATTCTAAGCAGCTATGATCAGAGATCGAGGAGCAAATGGTGAACTAAAGCAGCTATAGAAACGCGATTAGAGAGTGGATGAATGGAAGACTGGGGAAGGGGTACAATTGGAGAGTGAAGGAAGGGATATTCCAAAAGTTATGACTGAAGCAGGTATCATGATAGATTGACATGCTATGATCTGAATTCGACTCCGCACTCGTCTGTTCGAGCTTTAGGTATGATCAGAGACGGGAGGCTGGCTGCAGCAGTGGCTGCAGCTAAGGCGGCAGCAGCTGAGAAGGAAGCAACGGCAGAGAGAGCAGCAGCGGCTGCAGAGAGGACAGGACCGGTAGGGGAGGAGAGAGCAGCTATAGCAAGCGAAACGACAGCACAAATTCCCACAGGCGCCACAGCTGCAGCGGATTTCACTGTTTCTGCTGAAGCAACAGGTGTGGTTAGAGATGGGCGGTTGGCGGCAGCTGTGGCGGCTGCAAAAGCAGCAGCAGCAGCAGCGGAGGGATCAGCAGCAGGGGGAGCAGCAAACGAACCGGTACAGGGAGGCCTACGCGTCACCGCTGCTGCAGATTCCTTGAATTCTGCTGGAGCAGGGGGTGTGATAAGAGATGGACGGCTGGTGGCGGCTGTGCCTTCAGATGGACGGTTGGCAGCAGCCGTGGCTTCTGCAAAAGCAGCAGCAGAAATGGAGAGAGCCGTGAAAGAAGCAGCAGAGCGGATCGGGGACCCCAATGCTGCTGTGGGTACCACTGTGTCTGGTGGTGCGTTGACTCCGTTGACCAGCCAGGGGGCTGAAAGCAGGGCGAACATTGGGCAAAAGAGGGATGTGGCAGGGGAGGGGAGGACCGCGTCGCTTACGAGGTTAGAGGCAAAAAGGTACAGCGGTAGAGAGGGAGAGCGAGGGGTGGAGCGCGGTGGAGAGGGGCGGAGGCGGACACGGAGCAACGTATCTCTGATGGACACAGGGGTAAGGGACTCTTGAGCCATCTCGAAAACTCGTTATGATGTGATTGGTGCTGTTTATCTACCCACCATCCAGGTCTTACGCCGAAAACATGAAGTTTGCATCTTATGGTCCCTCTGTGTGCCTGCCTTGCAGGTGTTGCGGCTGGAGGAGGAGGTAGAGAGGGAGCTGGCGAGGCAGGAGAAACTGGTGGAGCTGATTGCCGTGGCAGGGGCTGACATGCCCACACTGCCCGTGCAGGTGAGGACTGGTGCAGGGGAAAGATTGGCCAGGTTGAAACCAGGGCAGGTAAAAATCTGGGAAAGCCAACACCAGGGCCTGTGAATTCCGAGGCAGGTAAGGACTGGGACAGGTGAGAACTGGGACAGGTGAGAACCGTGGCGGGAGAAGCGCCCCTTGACACCTACCCAACCACTGCCTCTCAAAACCCACCACAACCCCATCCCCTGCCTTTCCCCAACCTCTCCACCCCTCCATTCTCCCCTGCCCAACAGGAAGAGCAGGACAGAGCAGAGCGGCAGCTGCACAGGGACGTACATCACTGGGGAGACGAGGTGGCACACTCACGCACGCTGCTGCTTGCTTGCTCTAGAGCCGCCGTTTCCATTTTCCCCAATTTCTCCCCGACACACGTGCCAACAGGAGGAGCAGGACTGCGCAGAGCGGCAGCCGCACAGGGAAGTGCACCAAAGGGGGGACGAGGTGGCACACACATGTAAGCTGGTGCTGGAGCCTTGCTCTAGAGTCACCCTTTCCATCTCCCCCAATCCGTCCTCGACACTCGTGCCAACAGGAGGAGCAGGACCGGGCTGAAAGGCAGCTGCACAGGGACGTGCATCACTGGGGGGACGAGGTGGCACAAACACGCAAGCTGCTGTTGGAGCTGACGGTTGAAAGGGTCAACCTGGAGCGAGCGCTGGAGCAGGTTCACTGGGCCGTGGGGTCGCCTGGTGCTGTGCGCTCTGTTCACACCGCTCAGATGCAACTGTGAGTCCGCCCTGGTTGTGGGTGGGTGTGGAGGTGGGTTGGCCAGACACTCAAGCTGCTGCTGGAGCTGACGGTTGAGAGGGTCAACCTGGAGCGAGCACTGGAGCAGGGGTACTGGGCCGTGGGGTCGCCTGGTGCTGTGTGCGCCGTGCACACTGCTCAGATGCAGCTGTGAGTTTGGGGGGAGGGGGAATAACCGACGGTTGGGAGAGGTGGTGAGGCAGGGGAGGATAGAGGGTCAACCTGGAGCAGTGCTGGAGCGGGTGCACTGGGCCGTGGAGTCGCCTGGTGCCGTGCGCGCTGTTCACACTGCTCAGACGCAGCTTTAAGTCCGCCCTGGATGTGTCTAGGTCACTGGGTTTGTGGGCGTGGGTGGGGGTGGGAAATGGTGGCCAGCTGCTGCTGCTGCTGCTGCTGCTAGAGAGTTGGCGGTGGAAAGGGTCAACCTGGAGGGGTGTTCATGTGCTAGCCCTTTCATGTGTTCATGTATCTCTTTCCTGTGTCCGCCGACGTTGCATGTGCGTGCGCACAAGGCTACAGCTGTGTGCTGAGTCGACTCAAACCACTCGTTTCTCCTGTTCGTCTCTCGCTTCCTTTCTGGCCTGTTACCAACATGTGAACACACAGGTTGCAGCTGACAGCGCAGAGGGAGGTGCTCAAGGAGCTGATTCAGAACGAGAAGAAGGAGAATGAAAAGGTGTGTTTCGTGGGGAAACGGGACAAGGGAAGCGGAACAATGGAAAGAAGGACCAGGGGTGAGTGCACAGCAGAGGTTGCAGCTGACAGCGCAGAGGGAGGTGCTAAAGGAGCTGATTCAGAACGAGAGGAAGGAGAACGAAAGGTGTGTTTCTTTAGGTTGATTCTCGAGGTTTTTGAGGCACCTCATAAGCTGGCCACGCGGAGTGGGCAAAGCTGACAGCACAGCAGGGAGTTGCTCTACGAGCCAGTCAGAGAGTGAGTATCTCACAGCCAGTCAGAGAGTGAGTATCTCACAGCCAGTCAGAGAGTGAGTATCTCACAGCCAGTCAGAGAGTGAGTATCTCACAGCCAGTAAGAGAGTGAGTATCTCACAGCCAGTCAGAGAGTGAGTATCTCACAGCCAGTCAGAGAGTGAGTATCTCACAGCCAGTCAGAGAGTGAGTATCTCACAGCCAGTCAGAGAGTGAGTATCTCACAGCCAGTAAGAGAGTGAGTATCTCACAGCCAGTCAGAGAGTGAGTATCTCACAGCCAGTAAGAGAGTGAGTATCTCACAGCCAGTAAGAGAGTGAGTATCTCACAGTCAAATGGTAACGAGCTTCTTTGCCTATCGCGGCTTCACGCCATCCCTCTCGCTTTTCCCATCCTTCCTCCTCTCGCCCTTCCAGGTGGAGGGGTTTTTGGACCACCAGATTCTGAACGACTCTGCACTAGATGCCACCTCCCTGCGCCAGCTGCTGCTGCGCCTCCAGTTTCAGTTGTTTTCAAACAATTTTCACACAGCAACACTCTCTCCTACTCACTTCCTCTTTTCCTTCCCCAGGTGGAGGAGTTTCTGGATCAGATCCTGAGTGACCCTGCGCTAGATACCACCTCCCCCGGGTTCGCCTCCCTTATCAAAGACCTTATTCACACGCTCAACACCAGCCCCCCTGTCCTCCCAGCTGCCACTGCTGCCATTGGCGCCGCCTCTGCTGCTGCTTTTGCTGCCTTTGCCGCTTCTTCGGCTGCTGCCGGGAGTGCGGGCGGCGGGGGAATGGGGGGGGTAGGGAGAGGAGGAGGAGGAGGAGGGGGTGATTTGCACTCTGCTTCTGTCGGCCCCTCTGGTGGTTCTCGGGCATCTATTCTTGGACATAGCTATTCTAATCTTAGCTCTAGTACCCAGGTGCATCGGCTGAAGGACCTTATAAAGGATGTGACTGATCCGAAGGGGACGAGAGAGGGGGGAAGGCGGAGGAGAGGGGGGAGTGGGTCGTGGGAGGAGATTGGGAAGAGGCTTGAGGCGGAGGAGGGAGGGGGCGGGGGTAAATCGGGTGGGGGAGGAGGAGGGAGGGGAGGCGGGAGGGGAGGGGAGAGCATGGGGACTCTGGACTGGCAGGGTCGAACGGGGGTAGAAGAAGATGAGGTGGGGCATCTCACGGGAGGGAGTGATGGCAATGCGGTGGGGGGAGCAGGCAAGGGAGGGGGAGGAGGGGCAGGGGGAGGGGGGAAGAGTCGACTGAAGGTCCTACATAAGCTGAAGAAAAAGGTGAGCTCAGCAGGAGTGGGGGCGTGGGGGGGAGGAGCGGGGGGAGCTGCAGGAGGGGGAGGAGGGGGAGGCGGAGGGGGGGATGAGGCAGGAGACGGGGAAGAGGGGTATTTCCCTGGTGGGGGGATGGGGTCGCCGAGAGGGGGAGAGGGGGGGGGTGCAGCATGGGGTGGGATTCCAGGAGCACACCGTAGGACTGGCAGCGGTGGGGATACTGATTCTGTGAGTGGAATTGGGTATAGTGCTGGTGCCGGTGCTGGTGGTGCTGTTGGTGGTGCTGCTGGTGGGGCTGGGAACAGCAGTGGTCATCCGGCCGGTGCCAGCAGTGCCAAGCCTCTGAGCCGTGGCATGTCTCCGTTTAGGAAGTTGGGGCGGTATTTATCGTCCACTGAAGCAGACCTTAGGAGCTTGGCTGATGGTGCAGTGGCGAAGGGCGGCGGTAAGATGGTGCGTGGGCGGCGTGTTTCGGATGTACCCTTGCAATCGGACCGAGATAGCAGCATCAGCAGCACCCACAGCAGGAAAAAGGCTCCGAGCTACCCTGGCAGAGGGGAGGTGGAAGATGACAAGGAAGGGGGGATGAGAAGAGGGGAAGGAAGAGACGGAAGAGGGGGAAGAGAGGGAGAGTTGGCTGAGGACGACGACGATTCCTTGCCGCCTCAAGCTATAAGGTCTGCCACTCAGCCAACCCTCAAGCGCTCCTTGGCTCGCCGCGCATCCGACACTAGACAGGACCTCAATAACCTGGATTTTCCTGTGGCAGGGCCTCCCGACCTGCCTCCCTTGGCTGCTGCTGAGATTTCCAGTGGTGCGAGTGGGAGTGAGTCTCTTATGCAGTCCCATACAGGAAAGGATTCGGGCAGCTCTGTTGTGGTGCCAGCAGGACTTGCAGCCCTAGATTTGAAGCTTGGAGCTGCTGGGGGCAAGGGAAGTGAGGCAGGTGAAGGGATGAAGGGAGTGAAGGGGCAGGTGGGAGGGGAAGGAAGGCAGGAGAGAAGGGCGGGAAGGCGAGGGGAAGACGATTCCGTTTCACAAGAAGAGAAAGGAGAGGACCAAAGCAAGGAGGAGGAGGGAGAGGAAAGCGAGGAGGGAGAGGAGGGGGAGGAGGGAGAGCAAGGGGAGGAGGAGGGGGGAGGGGGGAGAGGGTGAGGAAGAGGAGGAGGAGGAGGAGGAGGAAGAGATGGAGAACATGGCACATGGCGCATGCTCTCCTGGAGTGTTCTCTCGGTTCAACCGCAGCACCTCTGCCATCCACCGCACTGCCTTTCCTGCTGCTAACACTCACGCTCCTCCTATTGCCGACCATGGGTATGCACAGGGGCACGGGCAAGGGCATGTGCGAGCGCATGGGCGTGAGGTGAATTGGAAAGAGGGGCCCGAGGGGGGTTACTCCGAGGCAGAGGAGTGGTGGCGATGCAGGTGCTGCTGCCGCTGCTGTTGCGCTAAGGTCCCGCTCTATGCGTGAGGGTTCGAAGGGCTTTGAGGGTTTCGATCGGCCAGGGGAATCATCAAAGTACCAAGACGGATCGATGGGTTCGTCTGACCCAGGTCAGGGCATCACCCTTGCTCCGACCTCCCTCGTGCCTTCCATGCTGCTTGCGAGCAACAAGAGCCCTGAGCGCATGCGCCCCTCTCTCTCCTTCCGCAGGGCTAAAACCCCTGAGAGGCACCATTCGTACAGCCCTACCACTCACTCCTTCTCCCCTTCCTCCTCCTCGTCCTCCTCCCGCCCTTGCTCCCCTCTGGGTAAGATGCTATCTTTTGCGGTCAGGCATGCACCGGGCATACACGCTGGCTACGCTCGGAACAATTCCGAGCCTGGTGGTGTTGCCGCCGGATTTGTTCAGAACAATTCCGAACCTGGTGATGAGGCTCGGGATGGCTTGTTCAGTGACCGAGTCAGGTCCGGCCTGTCTGATGGTTCGGAGAATGTTTTTGGCTGGGGAGGGCAGGGAGGTTCGGTGAGTTTCAGAATGGAGGATCAAGAAGCGAGGGAAGGGGAGCAGAGAGGGCTGTTATTTACTGGAAGAGAGGACAAGGGAACTGGAGAAGCCTCCAAGGAGCAGGACGGAAGCTGCAGGGTGGAACATCCTAATGTGCTTGTATTAGATGATGACTATACAGGAGGGGAAGAAAGCACAAGCCCTGCAGATGAAAACGCAGCAGATCTTGCCGGAGATTCTCAAGCTGCTGCAGCCCATCAGAAGTTCCTGGCCGTTGGATCTTTCTCCGAGATGGTCCTGGGGGGGCTGGAAGGGAGGGTAGGGGAGGGAGCGGCACGGGATGGGTGGCAGGCGGATGGAGAGGACGGATGGGCAAAGACAGGGGGTGAAAATCAGGAGGAGCTTCGGGAGGAGGATGGGGAATGCGATGAGGGGGAAGGGGGGAGCGTACACCTGCGGGGGCAGGAGGAAGGTATGTTTGGGTCGACTCAAGATGAGATGGTGTGTGAGGGGAAAGAGGAAGGGAAAGGAGAGGGGGACGGGGAAGCGGAGGTGGATTTAGAAGCTTTCGTTGAAGGAGAGAGTGAGGGAAGGGTAGGGTGGGAAGCGGGTGGTCGTGGTGGAGAGGTGATGGAGGAGGTGAAGATTTCTAATACGAGCACTCTGCAGCAGCAGCAGCAGCAGCAGTATCTATCAGCAATGCTAGGCGCCCTGATTTCTGCAACAGAGGCAGAGCTTGCAGGCAAAGGAAAGAAGGAGCAGGGGAAGAAGGGCAAGGAAGGAAAGGAGAAGAAGAGCCGAGGATTTTCCAAGAGAGGCGGTAAGGAAGGGAAGGCTAGTAGCAGCGGCGGCAGTGGCAGCGGCGGTGGCAGCGGCAGTGGTGGTGGGTCTGGATTCGATTTCAACCTGCTTGGAGGAACTTCTGGGAGTGGGATGGCGGGAAGTGATGGTGTGTGTAGCACTGCGATTGTCACAGCAGGTGCTGCAGCAGCAGTTTCAGCACCGCCGCGTTCTCAGCAGCACCCCAAGCCTCCGCTTGGTTTGGCGGCAGGCTCGGGAGCAGCCTCGGCAGCTGCCGAACCTGCCAGCCGTGCGCCGGCGCCCAGCGGCAATGTGTTTGCGAAGATCGACTCGCCGGAGCAGTGGGCGTCTGCTGACATGGCAGGATTGCGTTCGTCGTCTGGCGTGGATTTGCCAAGCCTTTCTGGACCTGCTGCCGAGCCTGTTTTCGAGCCTGATCTGCAAAGCCCGAGGACGAAGAGCATAGGCTCGGTAAAGGAGAAGGTGGCAGGCTTAGCTTCGGAGTTCGGTGTGGGGTCTGGTTCGGGACTGATAGCCCCCATTGCCATGGGAACTACTTGTTTAAGGGCAGATGAAGGAGCAGATCGGGCAGGTGAGGAAAAAGACGAAGGCGCATCTGCACCCCTTTCAACCGCACCTGTACCCCTTCAATCTGCACCTGGTGTGCATGAGCCTGTTATGCCCAGGGTATCACCTGAGGTAACACCTGAAATATCACCTGAGACGTCACCTGAGCCAAGGCCGCGCATACCACCCGTCTCCACTGCTGAAGCCCCTGCAACCGAACTGGTAACCAGAACTGGCGAAAAGTTATGCACCAGCAGCACCACCGGCAGCAGCACTGGCACTACCAGCGGCACAAGCAGCATCACAAGGAACAGCACCAGTGGCACCGGTGCCAGTGCAAATGCCCACGTGGCCTTTGCTCCCCCGCCTCCATCCACCACCCTAACCTCCTCCTCCCACGCTGCAGAGTCCTCTACTCGCAAATCCTTCCGGAAATCCCTGGCCAAGTCCATAAACCATCTCCAAAAAACCATCAAAAGCACCTCCTCCTCCTCTCGCCTCTCCTCTCTCCCAGCCACCGACTCTGCCCCCCTCTCTCTCGAGCTAGACGACTACCGCTCCCGCCCGTGCGTGCTCTCAGAAGAGATGCTGAAATCCATTGCAACTATCTACCTTCACCATGCACACCCGGCCGTGTGGGGGCTGGGGGAGGGGCAGAAACGCGCTGCCGCCCTCCTGCTTGCGTCAGACGAGGCCCGTGCCACGTCGGGTACAGCCGGTGCCACGTCGGATTCAGCCCGTGCCACGTCAGACGAGGCCCGTGGTGTGTCGGAGCAGGAGCGGGCAGGAGGGGAGGAGGAGATGGCAAGTGGGAAAGGAGGGTTGAGTGAGGCGAAGCAGGGAGGAGAGAGAGGAGGTAAAGGCGAGAGATCTGGTGGTGGTGATGATAACAGTGCTGGCACTGATACTCTAAGCCCCCTTCAAACCCAGGATGATCCGGAATTCAGCAGCACAGCCGCACTTCCTCCCGCCACTCCCTCATTCCCACCTCTCACTCCCTCCTTCCCGCCTCTCACTCCCTCCCTCACTCCCTCCATCACTCCCTCCCTCTCCAAAAAGCCCTCTCTCTTCGCATCAGACGCGGGTTCTAAGTCCCGTAGGGGCCTAGCTCTTGCCTCTGCTACAGCCAAGTCTGCTACAGCCAAAGCGCCCCAGTGGCTACGGTCGGCGTTTCCCGGGGGCAAGCAGGGGGCAGGAGGGGCAGCAGACGAGCGAGGGTGGGAGGGGACGGAAGAGGGGAACGTGCCCGGTGCACCTGAGGCGGGTTTTTCTGCTGCTGCTGTTGGCGCTGCAGACATTGGCATGGCAGGAGCAGCAGCCGCAGCAGCTGCTGCGGCAGGCGTTACAGAAGCAGGGTTTGCAGGGGATAGACCAGCAGAGGGGGCTTTTGAGGGTAACCAGAAGCGGCCGGAGGGGTTTGTGGATCCGTACGGGGCGTTGGAGGGGTATCCTCACCTGCCGGTGGTGGGGGCGTACAGCAGTGCCATGGAGATCACTGCTGTGCCTCCGCCTGAATCATTCACCAGCGCCGATGTCTTCCTGTTGTGCCGCTACCGGTGAGTGCCCTCTGAACCCGGTACATAAGGTTAGGTGATGTTGAGTAGGGCTTTACAGTTGGAGGGGCATCCCTCCCCTGCCGGTGGTGGTGGGGGCGTACAGCAGTGCCATGGAGATCACTGCTGTGCCTCCGCCTGAATCATTCACCAGCGCCGATGTCTTCCTGTTGTGCCGCTACCGGTGAGTGCCCTCTGAACCCGGTACATAAGGTTAGGTGATGTTGAGTAGGGCTTTACAGTTGGAGGGGCATCCCTCCCCTGCCGGTGGTGGTGGGGGCGTACAGCGGTGCCATGGAGATCACTGCTGTGCCTCCGCCTGAATCATTCACCAGCGCCGATGTCTTCCTTCTCTGCCGCTACAGGTGAGTAGTATGCTGTCTGTCATGGAGGTCACCGCTCTGCAGATATGGGTAAGGACCAAGGTACCTGAGGGTGCAATGCATCCCTGCCTGCCGGTGGTGGTGGGGGCGTACAGCGGTGCCATGGAGGTCACTGCTGTGCCTCCTCCCGAGTCCTTCACCAGTGCCGACGTCTTCCTTCTCTGTAGAGTGTGTTGTGCCACTGAGTGTGCTGCTGGTACCAAGGTCAACATGGCATTCAAATCAAACCCTTTTTCTTGCTCTTCCTGCTCTCCCTGCTCTTTAAATCCATGGCATCAGAATGCTAGCGGAGCAGCTGGACGATGTGAGCCCTGCCCTGCTGTCGAGGTGCCACTGTCATTGTTTTTAGCCCTCGCTCCCTGCTCTCCCTGCCCTGCCCTCCCTGCTCTCCCTGCCCTGCTCTCTCTGCTCTTTCAAACCATGGCATCATCAGGATGCTAGCGGAGCAGCTGGACGATGTGAGCCCGGCGCTGCTCTCAGAGGACGAGCGCCTGGCCTTCTGGATCAACCTGCACAACGCACTGCTGCTGCATGTGAGTGGCCTGCTTATCCCTGCATGCATGTGAGCAAGGTGGCATGTGCATGTGCATGTGAGCAAGGTGGCATGTGCATGTGCATGTGAGCAAGGTGGCATGTGCATGTGCATGTGAGCCAGGTGGCATGTGCATGTGCATGTGAGCAAGGTGGCATGTGCATGTGAGCAAGGTGGCATGTGCATGTGCATGTGAGCAAGGTGGCATGTGCATGTGCATGTGAGCAAGGTGGCATGTGCATGTGCATGTGAGCAAGGTGGCATGTGCATGTGCATGTGCATGTGAGCAAGGTGGCATGTGCATGTGCATGTGCATGTGGTAAGATTGCTCTCAGAGGATGAGCGGCTGGCCTTCTGGACCAACATGCACAACGCGCTGCTGCTGCACGTGAGTGTTCTGCTGCTGCATGTGAGTCTAGTCGTGAGATTTCCTTAGGCTAGTCACAAGCGGCTACCCCACATAGTACCCTTTTATGTTCCGTTTTCCCCTGTCCGCCCACTGTTAATATTGGTCAACCCCTTTCTCTCCCTCTCCTCTCCCCCCCTTTCCAACCCCGCGCAGACATTCCTGGTGGAAGGATACCCCACAACACATGCCAAGCGCATCGCACTGCTCAATCAAATCACCCTCGTATCAAATCACCCTCGTATCAAATCACCCACGTATCAAATCACCCTCGTATCAAATCACCCACGTATCAAATCACCCACGTATCAAATCACCCTCGTATCAAATCACCCTCGTATCAAATCACCCTCGTATCAAATCACCCTCGTATCAAATCACCCTCGTATCAAATCACCCTCGTATCAAATCACCCTCGTATCAAATCACCCTCGTATCAAATCACCCTCGTATCAAATCACCCTCGTATCAAATCACCCTCGTATCAAATCACCCTCGTATCAAATCACCCACGTATCAAATCACCCTCGTATCAAATCACCCACGTATCAAATCACCCACGTATCAAATCACCCTCGTATCAAATCACCCTCGTATCAAATCACCCTCGTATCAAATCACCCTCGTATCAAATCACCCTCGTATCAAATCACCCTCGTATCAAATCACCCTCGTATCAAATCACCCTCGTATCAAATCACCCTCGTATCAAATCACCCACGTATCAAATCACCCTCGTATCAAATCACCCTCGTATCAAATCACCCTCGTATCAAATCACCCACGTATCAAATCACCCACGTATCAAATCACCCTCGTATCAAATCACCCTCGTATCAAATCACCCTCGTATCAAATCACCCTCGTATCAAATCACCCTCGTATCAAATCACCCTCGTATCAAATCACCCTCGTATCAAATCACCCTCGTATCAAATCACCCTCGTATCAAATCACCCTCGTATCAAATCACCCTCGTATCAAATCACCCACGTATCAAATCACCCACGTATCAAATCACCCTCGTATCAAATCACCCACGTATCAAATCACCCACGTATCAAATCACCCTCGTATCAAATCACCCTCGTATCAAATCACCCTCGTATCAAATCACCCTCGTATCAAATCATCCTCGTATCAAATCACCCTCGTATCAAATCACCCTCGTATCAAATCACCCTCGTATCAAATCACCCTCGTATCAAATCACCCTCGTATCAAATCACCCTCGTATCAAATCACCCACGTATCAAATCACCCTCGAATCAAATCACCCTCGTATCAAATCACCCTCGTATCAAATCACCCTCGTATCAAATCACCCTCGTATCAAATCACCCTCGTATCAAATCACCCTCGTATCAAATCACCCTCGTATCAAATCACCCTCGTATCAAATCACCCACGTATCAAATCACCCTCGTATCAAATCACCCTCGTATCAAATCACCCACGTATCAAATCACCCTCGTATCAAATCACCCACGTATCAAATCACCCTCGTATCAAATCACCCTCGTATCTCTCTGTACCCCTCCTTCCGCTTCCCATGTCAACCCCTCTCTTCCCCCCTATTCTCCCGGTTCAGACTTTCCTGGTGGATGGGTACCCCACAACACATGCCAAGCGCATCACACTGCTCAATCAAGCCTGCCACCCTGTCCCTTGGCTTGTCCCCCTTCTGTTCAACAGCTTTGTCAACCCCTCTCTCCCCCCCTCCTCACTGCTGCAGACGTTCCTAGTGGATGGATACCCCACAACACATGCCAAGCGCATCGCACTGCTCAATCAGGTTTGCCACTGTTCTTATTCTTACTTGCTAAGTGTCACTGTTCCCACTAACTGGCAGTACCTAAGCGCGTGGTTCCTGTATTTTATGAAGAGTATAAGCCACATTCACATTCACAAGTCACACATTGATATCAGGTTCTCTGTTCACTCACAAACACTCTTCAACCTCTCTCCCTCTTCTCTCTCCCTCCTCTAATCATCTTCTTATCATTCCGTTTCCCCCCCTCCAGGCCACCTACACCATTTCGCGGAACGACCAACAATTCTCCATCCTCATCTCCGCCTCTCTCCCTTCTCTCTCCCTTCACTCTCCCTTCTCTCTCCCTTCACTCTCCCTTCTCTCTCCCTTCTCTCTCCCTTCTCTCTCCCTCCTCTCTCCCTTCTCTCTCCCTTCTCTCTCCCTTCTCACTCCTTTCTCTCTCCCTGTTCCTGTCATCCTCTCTTCCTGTTCACTCCCAGCCCACGTTCACCATTCGGAGCACGGCCATCAACGCATTTGAAATCGAGTTCTCCATCCTCCGGGCACAGTCTTTCCGCTCCTCTCTGGTAACGCTCCTCGCTGGTAACGCTCCTCTCTGGTAACACTCCTCTCTGGTACTGCCTCCTTCCGTTTCCCGCATTACTCCTTGATAACCCTCCTCCAGCGCCGCTTTCCACTCATTCCCTCTCTCTCACTGCTCCTCTCTCCCACCGATCCTCTCTGCACTGCTCCTCTCGTGACATCCCTCCATCTTCTCCGGAGGTTTTTGGTCAAGAAAAAATCCAAATATTCCTGACCGGAAGATCCACTGTTGAGTGTATTCCATTCATACTCTCTCTCTCTCTCTCTCTCTCTCTCTCTCTCTCTCTCTCTCTCTCTCTCTCTCTCTCTCTCTCTCTCTCTCTCTCTCTCGAACGGTCCATTGTATTAGTATCACCAGGGTACACACAAGGTAGGGCCACATCTACACATAGCCAAGCTAGCAGCAGATCTCCACAATCTAGCACCGCTAGGAACCGTTTCCCCTTCCGGCTCTAGTAGCCGGAGGGGTCTTCAATTAGTTGGTACAGTTGGCCCTCGCTCAGTGGGGTAAGAGGGCCCTGCAAGCCGAGCACATCCGCCGTAAGGGCCTCATGGGTCTTAACCCTGAGGGCATTGGCCTGGGCTCTCTGCAGAGTCACGCTCCATCGCTGCCGGTATTCGGTAAGGAGCTTGGCAACCTCCCTCGACTTCGGAGCGGCGTTGAACCGCCGCTTGCCCGCTAGCTCTGCGCAGCTACGGATGAAGTCGAGGACTCCCGGTGACGGGTAGCCGTATGTCTCAACTGCCATGGCGTAAAAGCCAACCCAAGCGCTCCGCCCGGTGTATTTGCTCTCCTTTTTGTCCGCCTGCATCCTTGCTGCCCATCCGGGCGCCTTACGGGCCTGCTCGTCCTGGTGGGAGACGGGGTCAGTGACTGTGATGTCACAAATCCAGACCTCACCAGTGTCGGGATGGCGGATAGAGATATCCGCTTTGAGGTTGTCGACTGGTGAGTATGCCGTCGTTTCCTTGTGCACTGTGAAGCCCGCTTCAGCTGCTATCTTTGCGCACTCGTCCCGCAGAGCATGGTGAGTGGCTATTCGCCCCCCCCCTTTCTCACACCGCATCAGGTGGTTAGGCAAGCGGTCGTCAGGGAAGGTGGTTCGGTATCTGCAGTTGCAGCGTCTTGGCACAGGTAAGGGCAGGCCCAAGCGGAAGGAGGCTGCCGAGGAGAACTGGGAGGGCCCGAGGCGTAGGGAAGGGATTAGAGGGACAGCGTGTAACCAGTCCCCTGCCCCCGGGCCTAGGAGGGACTGAAGCCTCTGCGTATGGCCCGACAGCGGGTTCGGCTCCATGGCCCGCGAGCTATCCAGTAGCCCAATGTAGAGGGCAGTGTGTACCGCGAGGGAGAGTGCCTGTTGGAGCTTGGGCCCGTTCGGCTTTTGCCTCCCCGCTTGGAGAGCCTCGGTCCCATCAGGCGGCAGCTCGGCTTCCAAAGCTGCGAGGCGTCTCGGGAGGAGGGAGGTGGACTCCTCGTCGGCATCCATCAGCGGCAGGAGTCCTGTGAGGGCCGGGTTTGCTGAATCGCCGAAGGAGCGCAGCAGGTGGGCGGCGGAGACAACTGAGGCCAGGTAGGCAAATCCCCCCTCTACTGCAGGGTTTGTGATGCCGAGGCCTCCAAGGGACGCGGGCAGGGCGGCCTGCTGCCAGATTCTGTCCCTCTCTGCTCGATCTCTGGGGATCTTTGTGTGTGCGGCAGCCAGGTAGGTGTGGAGCAGCCCTTCCCCCCAGGCGGACCACTCCCCAAGGGGAAGGGCCTCGGTTGGTGTGGTTCTGACAAGGAACGAGGCACGGCGGCTCACACAGCGGGTGAGCAGAAGGAGGCATAGTTGGGGGTCCATCTGTGAGAGGAGTGGGAGCGGCTCTGCTGCTGTGGGAAGTCGTTCGCGCACTCGAGCAGCACAGCCCGAGGGCGGCCCAATGGGGCTGCCTAAGATGCGGACCCCGTCCGGGGAGATATTGATTCCCGGGGGTAGGGTGGCGGGGTCCAGGGCTACGGCGGACCAAGATTCGCATTTCGCTGGATTGTGGGACAAGCCGTGGGCGAGGAGGGCCTCAGTGAGGTGAGCAAAAGCCGCCGTGCAGTTCGCCGCCTCGCCTAACAGGGTGATGTCGTCCGCGTACGCGAGAAGCACCACCTCCGGATGGGCCGCTTCTGTGGCGACGAGGCAAGGGTGGATGCTGGCTGCGAATAGGAGGGGTCCTAGGGGGTCGCCCTGGCGCACGCCTCGAGCGCTCTGAAGTGGCTCCGCTCCAAAGTCGTGGTCGAGGTAAAGTGCAGAAGGGCGGCTGTAAGAGAGGCGGACAAGAGGCACGAGGGGGTCGAGGGCCGTGCCCTTCAGTCCCTCGAACACAGCCGCGCGCTCGACTGCGTTGAAGGCGTTTGCCAGGTCGATCTGCAGGGCTGTCGCTCCCGGGAATTCCTCCAGGTAGGTGCGTGCGGAGTGAATCGCTGCTTCGATGCCTCCCGCGATTGCTACTCCAAATTGGAGCGGGGTGAAGTGCTTGCGTGCTGCGGGGGCGGCCAAGAAAAGAGCCGCTTTGGCGATGAGGCGGAGCAGACATTCACCCACGGCTATCGGCCTCGTTCCGCCCTGCGGTTTAGAGAAGGCGAGCAATCGCGAAGCTGTGAGGAGGTCTGCTGCCTCCGCGCTTAGTTTTCCTGCGAGTGCCGTGTTGGTGAGTGCATGTAACTGTGCTAAGACGTCGGCGTTCCCGAGTGCCGCGTCTCTCAGGTGCTCGAAGGTGGTTCCTGAGGGCCCGGCACCTACACCGTTCGGGCATTTGGCGAGCAGACGCCTGAAGTCACGGGCTGTGATGGAGGGTACGTTCTCAGAGGCGAAATCGTGCACCCAGGCCGGAATGGCGCGGGAGGCCTCTGGATGTCTGACCATGAGTGCGCTGAGGACTTCAGCGCTCGGGATGCAGACGGGCGTGGCAGTGAGGGACTGGAGGGATTTTGCCAGGTTTCCTCTTTTGGCTAGCCCCTCGGCCCTCGCCAGCTTGCCCGTGGTGTCAGGTACGTGGCGTGGTTGGGGGCTGTTGGCGACAGCATCCGCTGCCTCGTTATACAGGTTACGCCACAGCCCTTGGCGGAATCTCGTCAGTCTGTCGCCCATGCCTCTCCAGTCAGGTTTGCGGGCTGACGAGGAGCGCAGCAGGATTCGCGGGAGGAACAACAGCAGCTTCCAACCAGAAGACGAGTCGGGGTTCTTTGCCAGGTGGAGTAGTGGGGTCAGGAGGCAGATTGCGAAAGATTCGCGAAGTGGGCGGGGTGGGTGGCGGGCGAGGGGTGGCTGTCTGCTATCGCACAGGGGGCACAGGTCCCAGTTGGCGATGTCAGCGAAGAGGTCCTGGCGGCCAGCCAGGTCGTCAGCGCTGATGATTGGTGCAGGGGTGTCGGGGGTGGTGGTAACCCTAGCGTTGGTGGCGGCTCGGTTTCCCCTCGCGGCCCGATTTCGAGGGGTTTGAATTGCAGATGCGGTTCGGCCCCCAGTTGGGATTTCGCCTACTCCTTGGGCTGGGGTAGTCTCATCTCCATCTGTCGAGGGATTCGAACTCCCCTCCCTTTCGGGGATAAAGGAGGGGTCACCCGCTGAGTCATTCCCAGAATCGTCACCGAGTGTCACTCCTCCCTCCCTAGCTCTCCGCCGCAGGGCCCGCTGTGCTGTTCTGGCGAAGCTACTTGCGCCTCTTCTCTGGTTCGTGGCGCCGCGCCCACGTCCGCGGCGGTTGGTGCCACGTCCCACGCGGATTCCCCGCGTGTCCCTAGTTCTTGTGGCCCCCGCGCGTCGTGTTGGGGGGTCGGCTGCGACGTCACTTTCTCGTTGACGGAGCGCTGGCGTCGGCAGCCGTGGCATCGGGCGTAATGGATCCGACCACTGGTCGCGATCCTGCGCTGGAGGGTACGGCGGAGAGCGCCCAGCAGGAGCTGGAGCCTGCTGGTCCTCGTACACGTCTCCCCGCCCGTCCCTCCGCGAGTGAGCCCTATCGCCGCTTTGAGCGTGGGCTGTCCCTGCCTCTTCGGGGGGTCCTGCGGCCCACCTCGCCGGAGTACTCGTGGGCCCCGGATAGGGTCGCGTCGAACCGCCTCGCCGGACCGCCGAATCCGGGGTGCGGGCGTTCCCCGCCGCGTCAGTCTCCGCTGCAGCGATCTCCTCGTCGCCGTTCTCCTGAGCGCCGTAACCCTCCTCGTCACGGAGCGGGAGCCCAGCGATCTCCCGCGCGCCATCGCTCCCCCCCGCACCACTCTCCTCAGCGTCATCCAGATGGGCGCGGAGGTCAGAATAGGCGATCGCCGCGAGCGCGATCCCCCGCGCGACGCTCTCCGTGGCGATCTCCGGCGAGGCGGGGGAGGGGATCGCCTGGGCGCCGCTGGGATTCTGCTCGCCGCGAGCCGTCCCCGCCACGTCCGCAGTCGGCAGGGTCTGGGGGTCGTCGCGGTCGGCAGAATGGCCCTGGGCGCGGCGGTAACAGCCGCGGTCAGGACTCCGCTGTCGAGCAGGCAGTGAACGTGCTGACAGCGGCGGTGCGGCAGGCGCGGGCGGGAGGGGAGCTGGCTCACGTACATATCGCCGTAACTCAAGGCCCTCCCGTCGCCCCGGCTCCTGCCCCGGCGGATCCCATGCGCGTACCGACCTTGAGCGATTTTCTGCCTGCGAGAGGAGGGAGGGCGTCGTTCCGCACCCCTCGGCAGGCCTCGGGCTTCTCCGCTCCGCAATTCCCGCTTGGCCGAGCCCCTGGCCAGGTGGCGGCGTTTCCGCGCGAAGCTCCGACTGCACCTCCCCCCACCCGCGCGGGGAGAGATCCCATGCTGACCATGTGCCGCTTGTTGAGTCTGGCGGAGGCGTGCGAGGGGGTGGCGAGTTTGCAGATGTCGGTGTGTGGGGCCATGCGGAACACTCCGAGCAGTTACGCTCCAGGTCCCCGAGGATCGTGCGTTTCTTGGGCAGAAGCTCTCGTCCCGCTCTTGGCGCCCGTGTCGGAAGCGCCCGCCGGGGTAGCGCCCTTAGCGCGTACTTTCCCCCGCCACGCGCTTGATCTTGTTGGGGCTGCTCGTGACGGGACCCCGGTAGAGACCCTTCACTCGTCGGCGCAGCTCCTCCTTGCAGTGTCGGCGTGCATGCGCTCGATGCTTGAGGTGGAGGGGGCAGAGCCGTACACGATGTAGGCTTCCGCCGCGCGTAGTACTGCATGTCGCACCTCTAGTTAGGTCCCTGCTCTACTGCATGTGTTGCTTGTGTGCATCCATTGGATACTTGCTTTCGCTCGTGTGTCTTGCCACCCGAAGCGCGCGGCCGTAGGCCGCGCTGGCGAGCGGCGGCGGCCGAAGGCCGCCTGCGCGAGCCGCCGAAAAAGGAACACACCCGAAATAATGAAAGAAGCAAGGCACTAGCAGCCTTTATGTAGGCAAGGGAGGATGAGGGCAGAGGGAAGAGGCTGAGGGAAGAGGCTAAGGGTTCCCTCTCTCTCTCTCTCTCTCTCTCTCTCTCTCTCTCTCTCTCTCTCTCTCTCTCTCTCTCTCTCTCTCTCTCTCTCTGCATTCCCCTCCCTCCTTCCTCTCTTCCCCCTCTCGACCCCATCAGGCCACGGCACTCAAGGTCCGCCCCTTCCCTCCTAGCGACCACCGTTCCTCGTGGCAGCTGCAGTCCCCGCACCCCAATGTCTCCTTTGCCCTCTGCTCCGGCACATTCTCTGCTCCCCTGGTGAGGATTTCTGAGATGCCTCAAAAGTCGTCATGGGCCCTGGAGTCCCCGCACCCCAATGTCTCCTTTGCTCTCTGCTCGGGCACATTCTCTGCTCCCCTGGTGAGTGCTCCTAAACCACTTTGTCATTCCCTGTTGCGTTGTTCTCATTTTCTCTCTTCCCGGGCACATTTTCTGCTCCTCTGGTGAGTCCTCCTCAACCACGTCGTCGTCCCCTGTCGTGTAACATTCTTTTTTTTTTCTATTTTTATACAAAATTACGGTTTTAATCAAAGGTCACCTCTTATTATTAGTTTCTTTTCTTGTTATTTTTTTTCATAAAACAAAAACGCATTCAGTCAGTGCACTACACCAGTCAGTGCAGTGTGGCAGCCAGTGCAAAGGGAGGGCTTGCAACCTGATACCTCTCCCTTCCCCTCCCCTTTCCCCTCACCATTCCCCTCCCCCTTCCCTTTCCCCCTCCCACACCCGCATGTTTTCTCACCACGCACAGTAAGAGCAGAGCTGGAGGATGCAAGGGAGGTCGTTTTGCCAACTTGCCTTTCCATGCTGTCTCTCCCTTCCCCTTCCCCTCCTCTTTCTCCCCCCCCCCAGCTAAAAGTATTCTCACCACGGACAGTGAGAGCAGAGCTGGAGGAGGCAAGAGAGGGCTTCCTTGAGCTGGCAGTTGGACTCAGTCGAGACAACCGCCTTGTTCTCGCCAAAATACTCGACTGGTGCGTGGCATAAAAGAAAAAGGATACAACAGAAAGAAGCAAAGAAAAAAAAGAAAGGAATAAAGAAAGAAAGAACGGAAGGAAGAAAGAAAGTTTCTGAGTGCCTGTGATGTAGGCCTTTGTGTTATGCTCTTCTCAAGGCTTGCAATGAAGCATTTGCTAGAATCCTCTGTTGCCATGTGATTGCCACACGGTGTTCCTTGCACACCCCTTCTTTTTTCCTGCCCTTCCTCTGAATCCCTCCCACAGGTACTGCCCGGATTTTGCTGATTCTTTTCCATCCTTGCTTGACTGGGTGTTACATCAGCTCTCCCCTGCACCACGGTTGGCACTGGCAAAACGGATTGCTCTTAGAGGCAATCCCACATTCGCACAATGTGTCGAGGTGGCGCCATTTGATTGGTCGATCCGGTATCTTCTTGACCCCAAATCGCTCACTTTGAACACAGATGGCTTGTAATCCACCAGAAAGTGATGTGATGTGACGAAGTAGAACACGTATGGAAGGTACCAAATCGTTGATTCGTGGCGTTATGTGTAGAGCCTTTAACCCCATACAGTGACACGATCCAATGTTCTCATTGGATTCATTTGTTGATTGGAATAGCATGATATCTTAATTTTTAGATCTTCATCATTTATGCAGCATACATCGGGGATATACTTTTAATGCTTACTTACAATTGTATATTTTTTATAACGTTGAGATTCACCTCTACTGCAATTGAGATGTTACTGATTGAGAAAACTTTCGCGAAACTGAGCTTGCGAAGCCGATTAGTAACGTCGCACACCTTATCCATTGGAGATGTGACATAAAAACCTTTTTCCTTCATTACTTTTTCTCCGCCGGCTTTCTTGCTTCCTAATTAGGTATTGGCTGTTGCTACTTGCTTGCTCTGGTCTCCTTTGCAAATCAGCCATGGATGACCTAATTTAGGAAGCTTAGCGTCGTGTTCGCATCAGCTTCAGTGGTCTCTGCCTCGTCTAGGTTCTAGGCAGACTAATATCTCTCGTGTTTTTTGTTTTCGCATTTTCTCGATCGGGATCTGGTTTTCCACGGATCTCGTGTTTTAGGTCAGGGAGATTTCAGCACCTGGTTTTAGATATAGATTATTGCAGCAGTTGCGATTATTAGTTGCGTGTTAGTTGGCTATCGCAACTCTGGATAGTCGCTTAGAGCATTAGCATGGGCGGAGAGGAAGGCGCAGCAGGCGCTGGCGCCGCAGCCGCAGCACCGCCTGGCGCAGGCGGAGGGGGAGGCGAAGGAGGCGGAGGAGCTCCCCCAGGCGCGGGGAGCGCAAGCGGAGGCGCAGCAGCGGCTCCCGCGGGAGGAGGAGGCGGAGGCGGAGGAGGGGGAGCTGATTCGTACATCGGGTGTTTAATCAGTTTGACGTCTAAGAGCGAGATCCGTTATGAGGGTGTACTGTACACCGTCGATACGCAACAAGCCAACATCGCCCTGCAAAACGGTACTTTTCCAATCTCTCTCTTTCTCGTTGTTTCCTCCTCATTGTTTCCGTTATATCTACCAACTCCCTTTATCTCCGCTCGTATCTCGTTCCTCGTGTTTCCTTTCCCTACTTCCGTCACCCTTCGCCATCATGTCCCGTATTAGTCGAGATGTCAAAATTGGCCGGTTATTTCAAGTCACAAGTGTTTTTCTCTTTTTTTCGCGTGCTCGTTCGTGGTTCTTAAATTGTGGATCGTAAGTATATTTATAACATAAGCTTTTCTTCCCGAGTTGGTTTATTAAGCTTCTCCTTTGCCTATTTTTCCGATTCCGTTTCTTAAACTGTCGAACAATCTTGAATGCTTTTCGTAACCTTGTACCAATTTTGTAAATGCCTATTGTCCAATGCGTTCCTTTGAAACGCGGTGTTTAAAAAGTAGTTGGGAATTTTAAATTTGTGCCTTACGTGACTGTTTTTCCTCGTTGACCCATCGTCTAATGTCCAGTGCGCTCATTCGGAACGGAGGGGCGAAAGAAGGACGGCCCGCAAATCCCGCCCAGCGACAAGGTCTACGACTTTATTATCTTCCGCGGAACCGATATCAAGGTGAGCCTGGTTATCAGGTTACGGCTGTGCATATTTCGCAAAACTGACTCTTTTTTGCTATTCCGTTCGTTGTGTTCCCATTTCGCCCATTTTGAGTGCCGCGAGAGCGACCGTTTAGATCTGCTGGATTGCGTGTGTTATTTTCTTGTAGCTAATTTAATTCTCGCGTTCAAGTTTTGACGAAAACACCTGAACCTTGTTGGCGGAAGCGCGTCGACGTTAGAGCTGCTTTTGCGTAATGGCTGCCGTTTCTAGTAACGGATACCATGTGTCGCGCTTTTTACTTCCGAGCATCTTCTCTGTCTGTCCGTACTGTCGCAAACTTGCGTTTAGCTATTGTTAGCTGAATGCCCAGCTTCGTAGGTTCTGAATTGTGGGACACATCAATTGGTGGCTTCCATTCAAAAGCTGGGTTTCATTTTTCCGCCTGTTCGTTATCCGAACTTATTCTTGCAGCTTCTTACCGTCTCATGCCGCCACTTACCGCCTTTTGCCGCATTCACTCAATTGGATTTTTTTTTCCTTTGTTTCCTCGCTCCTGCCACCTGTTTCAGGACCTTCAAGTCAAGTCCCTGCCACGTCAGCAACAGGTAGACTGCGCGTTTCAATCTGTGTGCCTTTTACCAGCTTCTCAAGATTTTCATTTTAAACCTCCCTCTCTGCTCACCCACTCGTTCCACTCACAAGCTATTTGCTATTTTCCTCCCTCCAGCTACCCCGCCCTTTCCCCTTCCTCCCGCTCCCGTTCCCCCCCAACCCAATCGTTTTCCCCCACTATTCCCGCCCTTCCCCCCATCTCCCCCCATACTACCCCTCCGCTCCCTCCCATCCCTCCCTTCCCTCCCATCCCTCCCATCCCTCCCCTCTCCCCCATACCTCCCCTCCCTCCCCACCCTCCCCTCTTTCGGCCGTCGCTTGCACTCTGTCTTCTGTTTTGATCGCTTGGGGCTTTACCATCCATCTTGTCGTATCCGCCTTTTGAAATTCAGATTCGCTAAGTTCACTGATTGTGATTTTAGCGTTATCTCGATCCGTGATTCTCTTATTTATCGAGGTTATCTTAGTACTCAAGCTGAGCATGTGATCCCCGTTATAACGTGTGATCCGCAATGTCGCCCCTCCCATCTCCTATGCCTTCCCCCTGCACCCCCCTTACGCTTCCCCCGCCACAGGCTCCCCCTGCGCAACCCCCGCCGCCAGCGCCACCCCAAGCCTCCCCCCCGCCCCAACCGCAGCAGCCCCCGCCGCCCCAATACCAGCAAACCCCCCCTTACCCCGGACCTCCCCCGCCTAACGCCTATGGCCCGGGTCCCCAGCATCCGCATTATCCCCCTCCGCCCCCTTCGGGCATGTGGGGTGCTCCGCCTCCCCCGCAGGGGGGGATGATGGGGGGTCCTCCGCCCCACGGCGGAGGGGGATATGGTCCCCCGCCCGGTCCCCCTCCCCCGAACTATTACCCCCCGCATTGGCAGGGGTATTATCCGCCAGGCGCGCAAGGGCCCATGGGCGGACCTCCGCCCCCCCCTGGGGGACCTCCGCAGGGTTATCCCCCCCACATGCAGCAGCAGCAGCCGCCGCCGCCGCAGCAGCAGCATCCGGGGATGCCCCCGCAGCAGCAGTATGCGCCCATGGGAGCGCCCCCTTCCGCTGGCCCGTCTCCGCCTGCGCCCAGCGCGCCCCCTGCGCCTGGTCCCGCGCCTGGCGCGGGTCCTTCCGCCCCACCCGCGCCTGCTTCTGCCACTGAAGCGCCTGCCCCCGCGCAGGCGCAGGGTCCTGCACCCCCCTCTCCTGCCGCCATAGAGGATTCTGCTGCCCTGAAACAAGCAGCCGCTGCTGCTCCTGCTGCTCCTACCTCTGCCCCTGCTGCCCCTGCACCTGCTGCTGCTGCTGCTGCTGCTGCTGCTGCTCCTGCTGCTGCTGCTGCTGCTGCTGCTGCTCCTGCTGCTCCTGCTGCTGCTGGTGCAGGCGCAGGGGCAGCTTTGGCTGCTCCCAAGCCGGCGCTTCTGTCGCCTGCCGACCTTGCTAAAGCAACTGCACCACCCACCTCCGCCCCACCTCCTGCCGCCGCTGCTGCCACTGCTGCTGCTGCTGGATCGAAGCCTGCTGCTCCTGCAACCGCCACTCCCCCTGTCGTTGCCCCTGCCACTATAACTGTCACCCCTCCTGCTGCTCCTGCTGCCCCGGCTCCTGTTGCTCCTGCTCCTGTTCCTGCTCTCGCTCCTCCTGCTGCTGCTGCTGCTCCTGCTGTATCTTCAGCGGCAGCAGCAGCGGTTGCGGCTGCGTTGGCAGGGGTGGGTGCTGCTGGCTCAGTGAAACCTGCTGCTGCGCCGGCGATTATTCCGTCGCAACCTACTGGCTGGGGTAAGTCAAGGTCCTGCTCTTTCTTTTGCTCCCGCTCCCGCTTCTGCTGCTGCCACCGCCGCCGCCGCCGCTGCTGCAGCTGCTCTTGCTCCCGCTGCCGTTTCTGCTGCGGCTTCTGCTACAGAACCAACCAATCCCACGTCCCCCCTCCGCTCCCCTCCTGTCCCCTCTCTTTCCTTTGCATCTTGGTTTTTTTTGTTTTTGTTTTTGTTTTTTTCCTCCTCTTCCTCCCTCCTGTGTCATTGTTCCTGTTTATTTCCGAACTCCCCTCTGGTTTTTCCATTCTGCAATGCAAACCCCACTCCCCCCACCCCACTCCCCCCCCGCCAACTCATCCGCCCACCCAACCTTGCCCGTTCCTCGCATTTCAGTTCTGTGAAAACGCTTATCCCTCTCAACCCCTTTGTGCCACTGATCGGCTCATTTGATTCCCGGTTGACCTTCTGCCCCTCCCTCCCGCTCCCTCTTCCCCCCCTCCCTCCCGTTCCTGCTTTCCCAAACTCGACATCTTTCTTTCTCAACCCGCTTGTGCCACTGGTCGGCTCATTCAATTCTCTGTTGACCTTCTGCCCCTCCCTCCCTCCCTCCCTCCCTCCCTCCCTCCCTCCCTCCCTCCCTCCCTCCCTCCCTCCCTCCCTCCCTCCCTCCCTCTCTCCCTCCCTCCCTCCCTCCCTCCCTCCCTCCCTCCCTCCCTCCCTCCCTCCCTCCCTCCCTCCCTCCCTCCCTCCCTCCCTCCCTCCCTCCCTCCCTCCCTCCCTCCCTCCCTCCCTCCCTCCCTCCCTCCCCCCCTCCCTTCCTCCCTCTCCCTCCCTCCGTCTCTCTCCCTCTCTCGCTCGTTCTGCTGTTTCTCTCGTCAGACACGTCAAGCCAGCCGCTGCTGCCACTGCCTCCGCAACAAGGCGCACAGGTATGTCAGCCGTTGCTGCCGCTGGTGTAGTTGCTGCCATTGCTGTAGTTGCTGCAATTGCCGCACAGGTATCTGTGCCAGCCGCGGCTGCCACTGCCTCAGCAACAGGGCGCACAGGTATGTCAGCCGCTGCTGCCATTGCTGTAGCTGCTGCAATTGCCGTACAGGTATCTGTGTCAGCCGCCGCTGCCACTGCTGTAGTTGCTGTAGTTGCTGCAATTGCCGCACAGGTATCTGTGTCAGCCGTTGCTGCCACTGCTGCCAGTGCTGCTGCCAGTGATGTCATTGCTACAATTGCTGCAGTTGTTGCAGTGTTTGCTCATTTTCCCCCTCCCATTTTGCTCGTTCCTCCATTCGTCATCACTCTTGTCTTTTATTTTCTCCCTTCCCGCACAGCCCAATGGCGCACTGCCATCTGGCCACGCGCAGAGGGACGATCAACTCAACTTTGTTACAAATTGTCCTTGCTTTAAATGCTGCCCCTGTTCCCTCTCCCCCCCCCGCCCCCTCCCTTCCCCCTCCCCTTCCGTCCAGCAGCCCAATGGTGCACTGCAGTCTGGCCACGCGCGGAGGGGCGGAGCCGCAGGAGGAGGGAGAGGGCGAGGAGGAGGTGGAAGAGGAGGAGGGACTTTTCATCAACAGGTTTGTTTTGAGTGGGTTTGACAGGGAGGATTGAAGGAGGGAGGGAGAAGGGGAAGGAGAAAGAGCTGGGGGAGGGGAAATTTCACTAGTAGTTGTATTTCTGTGTCATTTTAAGAAAGAAGAAAGGAAATAAGGAGAGCGAGGAGGGCGGGAGGAAGGGGTGGCTCAGTGAAAGACGAGTTTTTTTAAGTAGAGGTTTAGGCGTAGGTTCTTCTTTCAGTTGAACTAAGTGTTTGCAATGCTCTTCCTCCTTCGTTCATGTTTCCTTCCTCGACCCCCACGCCTCCCAACACCCACGCACCTCCGCCGCTTCTCTCACCCCCTCACCCTCCCCCCCCCCCTGACCCACACACCTCCGCCCCTTCTCTCTCTTGCTTCCCCATCCCTTCCTCCCCCACACACACAACTCAATTCTTCGTCCCCCTTTTCCCCTCGTGTCCCTCACCCTCCCCCTCACGAATCTGCCCCCTTCCGCCGCCGCCTCTGCAACGCTCCCCCTCGCCCCTTCTCCCCCATATCGTGGCTGCTTACGCGGAGGAGTTTGATTTCAGTGCGATGAACGAGAAGCTCAACAAGGCACCTCCACCACTCTCCACCCCCTTGCATCCCCTTGCACCCCTCTGTCTCTTCAGAACGTTGCTGCTTATGCGGAGGAGTTTGATTTCAGTGCGATGAACGAGAAATTTAACAAGGCAGAGGTGTGGGGCGAGCTGGGGGGGCATGGAGGGCAGCAGCAGCACCACCCCCATCACCCGCAGCACCAGCAGCAGCAGAATCAGCAAGAGGAGAGGGAGGGCGAGGAGCAGGAAGGGGCAGGAGAAGAGGGGAAAAAGGTAAGATGGAAGTGAGGGACTGGGAAGCGTCGAAGAAGTGTATAAGGGTGGTGGGATCTTGATGGTATATGGGGAAGTGGGCGAGATGGTGTGGGCAGAGGTGCAATTTCTCCTCCCCCACCCATCAAGAAATGTATACGGGTGATGGGATCTGGATGGTATATTAGGTGGGATGGTGGTGGGATTCTGTGGTGCTATGTTGTGAGTAGGAGAAGGGAGTTGTACAAGACGCGAGTCCCCCCTTCTTCCCTCTCTCTCTCTCTCTCTCTCTCTCTCTCTCTCTCTCTCTCTCTCTCTTTCTCTCTCTCTCTCTCTCTCTCTCTCTCTCTCTCTCTCTCTCTCTCTCTCTCAAGCGGTCCATGTATTAGATCCGAGCAGGGTACAGACATGCACGTGGATACATATAACATGCATTCTAGCCTCTCATCCCCCCCACACGACCTACTCACCCTCTCTCTCCGCCTAAGCAAGCTCCAAAACCGGCTCCAGGATGGCAAGGCAGTCCCCAAGGGACATACCTTCGCCTGGGACCCCTGCCGGTGGGTTCTCCACCTGAGCCGCAAAGTTACTCTTGGTCATGAATCTCACGGACTGAGCACGCTGCAGCGCCACCGACCACCTCTGTCGGAATTGGTGCAGTAGCCTCGTAGCCTCGTAAGATGTGGGGGCCGCGTTGAAGTGCCTGCGGGCGGCGGTGTTGAAGTGCCATCTCTCTCTCTCTCTCTCTCTCTCTCTCTCTCTCTCTCTCTCTCTCTCTCTCTCTCTCTCTCTCTGCTTTCCAACCTACTCACTGTCCTGCTTCTGCTATCACCCATCCCCCTTCTTCCTCTCACCCCCACCAGGCGTCCACCAACTATGTGAAGGATGACTTCTTTGACTCGCTCTCCTGTGATGCTCTCTCTGCTCGTGCTTGATACCTCACTCACCGCCCCCCATCGCCCGTCACCCTCCCTCATCCCCCCCCCACCACCAGGCGTCCACCAACTATGTGAAGGATGACTTCTATGACTCGCTCTCCTGTGATGCGCTCTCTGCTTTATCCCGTGCACTCACAGTCCCCTCCTCCCTCCTCCCCAGGCGTCCACCAACTATGTGAAGGACGACTTCTTTGACTCACTCTCTTGTGATGCTCTCTCTCGGTCATCGGTGTTATATTGATTCCCCCGTTCCCCCTCAAACCCCCCCCCCCCCCCCCCCCCCCCCCCCCACCACCTCTTCCCCCCCCGCCCCACCTCACACCAGGCGTCCACCAACTACGTGAAGGATGACTTCTTTGACTCTCTCTCTTGCGATGCACTTTCTCGGGCCGGAGGGGGCCGGGGTGGTGGCATGCGTGGTTCTGACATGCGGCGGATGGATACAGAGGTGAGGGAGGGGAACAGGGCGGAAGGGATGAAGAAGTGGGGAACGGGGGAAAACGGGAGCAGGAGTAAGTGCAGGAGCGGGGCGAATTGGCGGCATGCGTGGTTCTGACATGCGATGGATGGGCAGTGAGGTGAGAGAAGGGTGGTGGGGAGGTGTTGGGGGTGGTTGATGGTATTACTCCCGTGCTGGCGGGGGCCGGGGTGGTGGCATGTGTGGTTCTGACATGCGATGGATGGACAGTGAGGTGAGAGACGGGGAGGTGGGTGGGGAGGGGAGGAAGGAATGCGGAAGGGGGAAACTCTATGATACTTGGGGAAAATGGAGGATATTCAGGGCTGGAGGGGGCAGCGGTGGTGGCATGCATGCTTCCGATATGCTAGGTGAGCGAGGAGGGGGGGAACCGGAGGGGGCTGGGGTGGTGGCACTCATGCTTCCGATATGCTAGGTGAGCGAGGAGGGGGGAAACCGGAGGGGGCCGGGGTGGCGGCATGCGTGGTTCTGACATGCCACGGAGGGATACAGAGGTGAGGGAGGGTGTGGGGGTGATCAGGAAGGGAGAGCAGGAATAAGTGCCGGAGAGGGGGGGGAAGTGGTGGCATGCGTGGTTCCGACATGCGATGGATGGACTCTTAGGTAAGGGGAAGGGAGAGAGGAGGGAAGGGGGGAAATTGTGTAACGGGGGGGTGGGGGAGGGGGGGGGAAATGGAGGATATTCTGGGCAGGAGGGGGCCGCCGGAGTGGTGGCATGTGAGTGACGGATGGATAGGTGAGGGAGGGGGAGGAGGAAGGGAGTCTGGATGGATTGATTGAAACAGAGTGAGAGGGCCATTGGGAAAACGGAGGCCCAACTTGTCACATTTTGCATCCCCTCCCTCTTTTCTCTCCCCGTTCTCCCTTTCTTTTCCTCCCACTTTTCTATCGGTTCTCCCTCCCTCTTTTTCCTCCTCCTTTCACCTATGCCCCTTTCCCTGGTACCCAGACGTTTGGTGATGTGGGTCACGGTGGTTACAATGCATGCGACATCCCAGTTTTACTTTCTCTATCTGTTTCACATACACCCCCCTCCTCTCACCCAGACGTTTGGTGATGTGGGTCACGGTGGTTACGGCGGTTACGGAGGAAGGGGGGGTAGAGGAGGCCGTGGAGGCTATGGATACTCCGGCGGTTACGGCGGGGGTTATGGCAGGCGAGGCGGTTACCAGGGCGGGGGTGGTTACGGTGGAAGGGGAGGCTATGGGGGAGGGGGTTACGGATATGGAGGGAGAGGAGGAGGTGGATACGGGGGAGGTGGGTATGGGTGAGGTGGATACGCAGCCGGGGGGTATGGTGGTTATGGTGGTGGCGGCGGTGGTGGCGGGGGTGGTGGTGGTGGTGGGAGGGGTCGAGGTGGTGGTTATCGTGGTGGTGGTGCTGCTGGTGGTGGTGGCCGTGCTGTTCCCATGCAATGACCTTGTGAAGTCATACCGTGCATGCTTTTGCAATAGATTTGCATTCATTTGTTTTTTTCCTGTTGGTCCGATTGAGTGAGATTCGGTAGTGACTAGCTTATCCCCGGTTGAGATTACTAGGTATGAGCATGCATGATGTAGGAGTCTGATTCCTGCCTCTAGTCGGCGATGTTATGGTAAATCCCATCTGCATACTTGCATTACCTTTTTAGTCCTGGCTCGTGTGCGTAAGAACGTCATTTTATAAGCTGAATGAGAGGATGGAGTGTCAAGATGTCGAATCCCACCAAACCTTGCGTGTAAAATGAGATTGCTGATAAGCCTACAGACTCAGCGAATAGTCGATGAAAGTTACTGCCACGTGCCTTGCTCTGATTCCTTGTCACGTCGATTTTCGTGTTCGACGAATAACGGAGCACGAATTTTGTAGGCCAACGGGGCAGCCTCTCCAGCTACAGTGCCTTGTGGGGACACCGACCAACAGAATTTCACCTATCTTCCAATCTCGCGACGCGGATGGCAGAAATGGTCCCACCCAAGCACCGCATACTTTCGATTTCAATCACCCACATAGCCTTTCTACAAATGGTAAACAGAAACTCTGTTGATCCTTTCGCAGAAAAAAAAAGTGTTCACATATTTTCCAAGTTTATCAAGCTCATAAGTCAGAACTTGGTTACATAGCATTGTGGGCACACCACATATTAAACCTAAGTTTCCTTCAGTTGAGATGGAACTAGTACATTTGTCACATTTGCGCTTCGAACAAACTCCGCCGCACCATCCTTCAACGCAATCACCTATTTATCCACACTGCGACTGTCCCTTACGACGCTTGCCTGTGTTAGACGCAACAAAAATGTCTGACCCGAAGTCACTCCACCGTGAAATGCGGCGTCGTCAGGACCGCCCATTCGTCTTGTCCCTGTCCCCTCGCGCTCTTCCCCCTCGACGCCCACAGGGGAAAGCGAGAGGGAAAGTCCTAGCGTTGCTTATCACGCTCACATCAAGCTTTCTCGCGCGCAAAGTTTTGCTTGTGTGGAAGTGCGTGATATTCAGGCACCACCGCATATAGAACTCGATAAGCGGCAAGTCCTATCACCTGAGCTATAAACACTTTTGGAAATCTGTCAATCACATACGGCCCCGCTGCTGCTCCCTTCGTCTCCCCATCGAAGTACTTCTGTGCTTTCTCACCTACTAGTTAACATGGTTTTAAAGCCAGGTTCCACAATGGGCCGCCTTCAAAGCATCGTTCTTTCTTTACTCGCCACGGCGACACTGCTTCTACCGCTTCTATCGCCGTCATCCGCGGCGGGTTACCCGCTTTGCCCCCTGACGCAGAAACCGCCGCAAAAACCGGCGATTATCCCATCGCGGTGCGTGAACGCGGTTGAGGCGAGCTGCTGCGAGAACTGCTTCGACCGCGGATTCGCGCTGTCGGCGGTGCTCGCGAATGAGACGACCATCCTGAATGAATTCGCGCCGTCGCTAGCGAAGATGCTAGGAGGAACAGAGATTCAGGTGCGTGGCTCGCGAGCAACATTGCGGAAAATGGAGTGAAGAAATCTCGCTAGGATTATTGCGAATAATATTTTGAAGAAGTTTGTGAGAGATTAAAGAGCTGCTGTAGACAGCATTTCTAAGAATTTTGGGTAGTCGCAGGCGCAGCTGCTGCGTGAAGCGATTCTTGTTGTAATCAACGTTCGCAGGAAAACTTCTGTTCTCCTTAGCTGCTGTCGGCCGTTCTGAAAATCCTTAAGAGCTGCTCTCTCATTTCTAGCACTTACGGAAATCATCTTTCGTTCTGACACAAACAATTGTCGCCTGTTTCTCCTCGCTATCGTGACCATGTTGCTTCCCATCCCCTCCCAGCTGTGCTCCTTATTTGTTGGATTCCACGACTGCGCGAACGAGTTGGAGCAGGTCAACTGCGCCTTAAAGCCAGGATCTCAAGTAAGAGAATTGGCCTTCAATTGCAAAACACTTGCAGCGCTTGTTACCCTATTTTTGTAGGCGAATTGACTGGCTGGTTAGGAAAGTGAGCGTGCGGCACACCCACGATTTTGCCCCTAGAGCAAATGCAAAACATTTTGCTGGTACATGAGATTGTTGTGTGTGACGAGAAATTGCAGGCATTGGAGCTTCGTCACCGAACCAGTTTCCGAGCCTTGCTTGGTTCGGACTGAACTTGCGATTTGTCTTTACTTCGCACCCCTCGCTTCACACCTCGTCAGATTGTTCACCTCGCTAACCAATCGCAGCCCAGCTCCCCTCACCAACTGCAAAACAATTGAATTACTTGAGATCCTGGCTTTAAACTGTAACCCAGGCACGTCTTTACTAACACCCCCCGTTTTGCGTCTTGACAAACTCAAAATGGATATGCAGACACTTTGCTTCTATGCTATTTTCCTATTCTCATTTCTTCTGCAAAACTCGTTCCCTTCCAATAACGAAGTACTGAAAAGAGTATCAATTTATACCTGATTGCTTGAATCATACTGTTACCGTGATTACGTTCGCTAACGACTCGCCACATCTCCCTCCAGACTCGGGCAACTACGTGCGCAAGGGCGAAGGGGTGGGCGCGAACCCCATTTTCACGATGTGCGACGGTTATGCGACCAAGATGTTTAATGATGTAGAGGCGTGTCCTCTAGTTGGCAGGAACTAGGAATTGTTCTAAGCAGTAGAGCACACTCTTGGCTTTCCAAGGAGCCGTAGAACACGTAATTCGCCCAAGTATCGGCTGAGATACGGCTTTCAACGTGCTAGGTAGTGCTCTAAGATTGAAGGATAGAAAGTCTCTGGATTTTGTGTCGAGTTGAACTGTGTATAGAAAACTCTGATTTTCAGTATGATGGCATGCAATACAAAGAAAACAGATTTATAGCATGCAAACAATATCGAATCGCACAAGCAACCTCGAACCGCTACACTCGCGAATGTTCGAGTAACATCGAAAGGGTGAAATTCGACTCTCGAATTTCACCGATCCGAATTCTCCTTGGGTCTCGAATGTTCCTGGTGCTGCCATGTGGCACCGAATCGAATGGGTCTTCCGAAGTCAATCCTCAACCCCACGCAAACCTGCAACTCACTCGAAGGTGAGCACAAGTCACACATTCGGTGGGTTGGGGGCATACAAACGCCCCACCACCACCTTGCTTCCAACACACGTAATCTCCAACATTTAACGACTGCAAGGGACTGCCAGGTACAGTACACCGCACGATATATTATAGCAGAAAAACAAAGGTAGACGGTTATACATATACATAAGGCATATATGCATATCAAACGGTGGGTTGTTCCTCTTCATAACCAAGATTCCAATATTAAAAAAAAAATCACTTATCTTTGCCCTCACCAAGTACAATTTGGTGTTACAACCTTCTCCCATTCTTCTTTAAATTAAAGCTTAGGCACTTCTGGCTTCCCTCCCCGCCTGCTCCTTCCAGTCCCTGGCACAACGGCCACGTTCGGTCAGTTTCTCAACAGCAAGGAGCGCCTGCTGAACAAGACCTTTGGCGCCATCTTCCCAGCCCTCGGTTACATCAGCACCACTCTCGAGATTGTGCCTGTGAGTAATATGAGAGTGCTTGGCAGAAAAGGGAGAGGGGGAGGGCAAAGAAGGGGTATAAGAACGCCTGCTGAACAAGTCGTTTGGTGCCATCATCCAGCCCTTGGTTATATCAGCACCACCCTCAAGATTGTGTCTATGAGTAGTGGGAGCTGCAGAAATGGGGAGAGGGGAAGGGGTGAACAGGGGAGGAACAGACGAGGGCTAGAGGGGGGAGAGGGTGGAGGGGGGAGAGAAGGGGTGCAGGCAAACTTGACAGGTTAGTTATCAGCTGATGTACTTGTGTGTTTGGCCATGTGCAGGGCACGACTGGTTGCTATAATGGACCTACCATGCTTCCTTCTCGTGTCATCTGCTGCGACCCCCTCGTTCCTCCGGCCAACTGCCCTGCTGGCACTGTAGACAATCCTCGTTTTAAGAAACTCTTTAACCGTACGCTAGACAAGAACGACTGTGCTGCATATGCCGGTGTATCAGTCACTGCTGTTGTAGCTGAGCCTGTTCCCAGCAGCTCTGGCAGTGATGGCTCAGCATCTAGCAGTAGTGGGGATAATGGAAGCAGCAGCAGCGGTAGCAGCGACAGCAGTAACAATGGGAAGAGTGGAAGCAGCAGCGGCGCTGGTGCGTCTGGCAACAGTGCTAGTAATGGCAAAGGGAGTGGCCGTTTTGCCAGGTTTGGTTATGCTGTGTGGATGTTCTTATTTTCCTCAGTCTTTCTGTTTGGCTAGAATCAAGCCTTGCTTAGCTGCCATTTTTAAAGTCGGATCAAGCCTCATGATCAAAGCCTTTGGAAACCCAGTATCTGCCATGGGTCGCATTGCAACAAAAAAAATATTTGGGAGTTACTGGAAGTGGGCGGAGGTGCACCATGCGTTTTAGCAAAACGTGAATTCGATCCATTTCAACCTGTCCTCGCACTTTCTCCAGCATCATGCCACCCCCTTCCTATCCCTGCCTTTCCTGTGTTAAGGGTCAGTCCCATTTTTTTCCTTGTGGCGAGGTAGGCAGAAAGCATATGCTCACTTCAGTCTATTCATTGAGGAGAAAGCGGCGTGACTCTAACGCAGTTGGAGTGTAGTTTGTATGAAACCCCGCAAATAAACCTTGTGGGTCCTACACTAGTAGAGCAGCCACGGATGCTGCAGTTGGGTGTCTGTAATGTTGAAAAGAGACCCATTTGGGTCGAAGCGGTGACCAGCACTTTCTTGTCCTCACCAGGTCCAATTGTCATTGCATGGCAGTCCGTTATCGCCGTTTCGCCAAGTGA